GCCCCGGCCCCGCCGGACACCGCGCTCCGCCGCCCGCACCTCCGCGGCTCCGCGGCCCCCGCACTCCATCCCGCCCTCCCTCCCCCGCCCGCAGCACCGGCTCCCCCTCCGCCTCCCCGGCCCGGCCGGCCGCGCTACCCAGGATGCTCCGCGCCGGCGCAGGCGCGGCCGCTCAGGAAGAGGAAAATGGCATAAACAACCCCGAGCGCCGGGACCGCTGAGGAGGAGGAGGCGCCGCCGCCCCGGGCCGCGCGGCCCCTTTAAGAGGCGCGGAGTCGCCCCCTCCTCCTCCTCCTGCCCCTTCCGGAGCCGGACCCGGGGTGACGGCGGTCCCCGCGCCCCTTCCCCCTGCCCGCCCCCTTCCCCATGGTGCCGACCCCGGCGGCGGGGCGGTTGCCATGAACAGCAGCGGCCTGCCCTGCTCGTCGCCGTCGCCTGTGGTGGGGCCGCCGCCGGGGGCGGGGGTCGGCGTGGCGGGTCCGGCGGCCGGCGGGGCGGGGGCCGGCGGCGGCGGCGGGGCCGTGAAGCTGAAGTTCTGCCGCTACTACGCCAAGGACAAGACCTGCTTCTACGGCGAGGAGTGCCAGTTCCTGCATGAGGAGCCGGGCGCCGCCCCCGCCGGCCCGGGGCCCGCCGCACCCCCGCTCGGCGGGCTCCCGCTCGGCATCCCCCCGCCCGCCGCTGCTGCCGGGCCGGGCTACTCAGCGCACGGGGCCAGCTCGGGCCCGGCGGCAGCGGTGGTGGGGCCTAAGAAAGCCGAGCTGGGGGCGGGAGGCGGAGGCGGCGGCGGCGGCGGGGGGCTGGATGGCCCGCGGCTGGCGAGTGAGTGCGGCGGGGCGGCCCGGGGGTGGGGTGGGGGGGCGCTGCCGGGAGGGGGCGGCGGGCGGCGCGCTGTTCCTCATCCCCGACACGCCGCGGTGCTGCCGGAAACAAATAACAACAGCCATGGTGGTGGCGGGGGACCCCCGGGCTGCCCGCCCGGCTGCGGCCGTCCCGGACGGGCCAACGGCGCTGCGCCGGCTGCCCGCAGGAGACCCGGCCCATACTGGTGGGGAGGAGCGGGCAGGTGTTTGTAGGAAGGGGCTCCTCCTGTGTGGCTTTAAAGGGGTTCCCGGGCAGCTGTCCATCCGTCCTTCTAGCGCTAGGCTTAGTGCAGGTTCACAGGTACTCCCTGCCCGACGTCAGACCGGGAGCAGGGAGGCAGCTTCTTTCTGAAGCCCTTGGATGGGCTCTTCTGAGCAGCGTGTATTGAGTGTCGGCTCTTAGAAGTTTTAAACGCTCCAGCTAAAATACGACGTTTAAATTACAAAAATACTTGACAAATTGCGATTCACCTTATCGTGAGAAAGAATTTATGTTGCTGGTGGCAGAGCATTGGAACAGGCTGCCCAGGGAGATTATGGAGTCTCCCTGTCTGGAAATATTCAAACCCCACCTGGACGGGTTTCTGTATAACCTGCTGTAGGTGATCCTGCCTTGGCAGGATATCCCCAGATCCCTTCCAACCTTAATGTTACTATGCTTCTGTGATAGGTGTCTACATTATTTACTACTGTGAGCAGAAATTGTTTCAAAATTTTTTCTGAGGTTTTCCAGCCCTCATGCGCAGCCCGTTTTCAAATGGTGAGAGTTCAGATAGCCTGTATGTCATGCAGAGCTGCACTGCTGTTGCTGGTCGGTTGTGCATCCTCCTGATGTGCAGGCCAATAGTTAGATGGAGCTTGCAGTAAACTGATTTTAATAACCATTTGTTTTGTAGGTGAAGCAGCATTTGGCAGGCTAAGAAAACATGCTTCTTCAGAAAAGCCGTGCCTCTTTACATGAGTATATTAAGTTTGGCTGCGTTATTGATTTTTGACACAAACCTGGCATTTATGTACATTAAATTATTTAGCTACTAAATGGTCACCACCATATTTTTTCTGAAATTAAGATGCAACCATGCTGAACATCCTGCATGTAGGTTTTTAGTGCTTGATAAGTCTTTCAGGATCCTGCAATTGTTGTTTTGCCAGGTGTGGTTAGGTTGTGCTGATGAGTATTAGCTCTATAGTTGGTAGCTTCTCAGTGTCTTATATTAACGCAATGCTGTCATGTCTTCCCTTTCAGGAGAAGATCTTAAACTGCTGCATAAGGCTTTCTATTAAAAGTCTTCCAGATTTTTGTTAAACTTAAGCTATTCAAGCTGAAGGCTCTCTTGCCTTTTTTTTAAAATTAAATAGAAATATGTTGGAGGGATTCAGAAGCAATAAGTCAATCATTGTTAATTTTTCTTTTGGATGGAGTTTGGTGTGAAACACACTTTTTCCCTGTGTGAAAGAAAATGCTTAGGGGATTCAGATTTGGGGACAGGATGCATAATTTAGTTTGCAGCTAAAAGGTCCTATATAAAGGATGCTCTTCTAAGAAACAGTTAAAAAAAATTTGCCCAAGCCCTGAATCTAAGGCAAAAACCTTCAGAATTTGTGTGTTGGGGGTTGGTACGGCTCAGCAGTTAAATTATTTGAAACACTTGCTTCTATTGAATGTGCTTGCTGCAGTAATATGCAGTTGAGGAGTGAGGGCACCAAGAATGGAGAAGCCCACTATGATGCTGTCAGTGGTTGCCTGCTGGGAAGGCCATATCACTTGGTGTAGGGGGCAAAAGCTTCGACTGGTAGGAGATCTTGAAGGACACTCGCTGAGAAAAAAGAGCCCAGAAACGAAGGAGAGGGAAATTTAATTTGAAAAGCCAGGAAATGGGCCTAGTCTCACTTCTAAACTTCTTTGCTTTAGGATGCATTTGTGAAAAAAAAAAAAGAAAATAATTATTCAAAATCTGAAGCTGATGTGTATAGATACTGATAAGCTAATATCTAAATTCCTTACCATGCTGCTAGCCTGTGGTGTTAACAGGATGATTTCCAAGTGGATGGAATCAAAGTTTTATTTCTGTGGATGTAGGAAGTAAGATGCAAAGTTATATTAAAAAAGTTCTGAGGTTAAGAATATGAAATTGGGAATTGCCCAAAATCACCTGCCTGTACAGTCACTGACAGTCTGATTCAGAAGTATTTGGTAGTCTTAGTGTGACTGTGGATGCCACCTTCTCTTTCTCCTTCCTCACTGGACTCCAGCATCATTCAGTGCACAGAGCAGATAATGCTCATTGACTAATTAACTGGGTAGTCCTATTTATTGTTAAAAGTGGGTCAGTGCCTCATTCTAACATGCGTGTTACTCTAATCCTGCTTTGAGTACAGGATTATTAATTTACTTATAGGTTTTTCTGTGGTAATCACAAGGGCTCCCCAAATACCAACATTTTCATCACATGGGTGGTAGGAATGTTGAGTGATGAGGAGATGGTGAACAGTGAAAATGCAAGGAGTATTCCAGTGTATAAGTATTTCACTATTAGAGTATGAAGAGGAATGAGCAGCTGACATCCTCAGAGCTAACCAGGAGGAGTTTCTCAGGTGATGTGTGGTTAAGCTGTTCTGTACCTGTAGATGTTTTGAGTGCTAACATATGACAGAATTCCAGAAGTGATCAGATAGTCTTGGAAGAAAACTCTGCTTGAGATTATTAAATACAAAAAATTCCCATCTCTGGATCAGACTCATCTTCCCTTACATATGTATATATGGCTGAAAGCCTGTTGGGAAATCCTGCTTTATCCTTGCCTCATATTTACTACAGCTACTGCTGTCCAATGTCAGAGATGAGGTAGCAGGCTTAATGTGGCTTTGGCTTGATGGGTGGGCAAGAATGAGGAGCAAGACTGACTGAGCCCATGAGCCCCACCCACTCTCAGAAGGTAGCACTGCTGCCCACTGCCCTCAGACTATTTTGCATGGACCATGTGTTCAAAGCACCATTCCTGCTTCTTCCACCAGAGTTGAGTGCTCAGTGTTCTGCATGGTTCACCTTCTGTGAGTAAGGTGACCAGCTGACTGCATACAGAATAGGGAATGAAGTTGATACTGCCTATCTAAAATTTTATTTTAAAAAATTAATCCTTTTTACATAGAGCTTCTGTGACAAAATAAGGGAAAAAGGAAAATAATGCATTTTCTCCAAATTTGGTAGCTACTTAAATTTGCACATGGTGCTTTTCTAATCGATATATGTCCCACGTGTCAGAAGGCTATAGAAGGAGCAGAGGTGGGGAAATGGCTGATACTTGCTGTTTAGGGGAAAGTATGATTGATTAACAGGATTTAAATGAGTAGCCAATGGAAGATGGGTAGAGGGCATGGTAGTATGAAGAATTTCTCTTCTAGTGTGTGCCCTCTGTTCACTGTGGCACTTTGCAGCTTTACTAAGCAGCAGACCAGTAGCTGGCTTTGCTGCATGCAGCAGGCTCATTCCTAGGCCATCATCCCATCTCAGTGCTGAGGGAAGTGTTGTAGTATTAAAATGTATCATTCCTATACCCAAGTCAGACAAGTTAAAGTTGGATGGACAGCTGTTGTCGTATTTGTTAGCTTTCAGGTAGTTGAACCAGTGTAATACTCTTTTGCATGTAGACCTCATATTATGTATTGATAGATACAAGCTGAAGTATGGATCCAAATGTTTGCTAATTTCTGCCCCATTTTTGCTGTGAACTTCACAATACATAGTACTCACCCTTTCCTTCTGACTTCTGATTCCTACGAAACACTGGGGTGCTGAGCTGAGGAGGGCCAGGTGTGCCCTGGTCCCAGTGGCACCGCAGAGCTGCCTGTGAGGAGCTGGCCACAGCAGGGGTGCTACTGCTGTGTGAATTTCCAGTGCCAGAGCCTAGCCCACCCTCTCTCTCACTGTGACACGTTTACATCTGGTTCTCTGCTGGAAAGCCTTTTGCGGAGCCCTCGTAGGAAATCTGTGGTTGGAAAACAGGCCTGTGTTTCTGCAAGGTGGCATTTTTCTATGGCTGCTGAGAATAGCCCATCTGTGAATAGACTTTATAGCCAGCCTGCAAGAAGGTGGAAAGGGACATTAAGACTTGGCGTGTGTTGGGTTGGCCTAATAAAAGCATTATGTTTGTTTTCACAGCCCTAATAAAAGCATTATTTTGTTTTCACAACCAACCACCTGCATGTTGTATCTAGTCAGGGCAATAGTGGCCACTGCTGTAGCAATTCCATATGCAATTGCTCCATGGTTAGTTTAGTGAGCATTACAACTTAGGTTTTGTGAAATCTCTAAATACACTGGGCTTGGAGTGGAAAGACACAAACGCTTGTGAATTTTCTGCCTTTTTAAAGTGTGTTTGATTCTTTACCAGTACATTCCCTTTTAAACAACATGAAGCAGCTGATATAGAAAAAACCGGAAAGACAGCTGTTCATCAATACTGATAGTAAGGGTAATCTGTTGGATTACACTTCTTCTTGCAGTGAAACTGGTCAGGGTTATTCTAAATGTGGATTTTTCTTATCTTTGGTAACATTTCAATATTTACAGGTTTAAGTGTTTACAGTTATGCAACTTTTAAGTACAAGAATAGTTGCAGTATGTCATGTACTCTTCACTTTTCCTGGGGTTTGTTTCTTCTCCACTTTTGCGGAGAAAATGCGTATTATAGTAAGGGTGTATGGTTGAGAATTTTTTCCAAACATGTTTGTACTCCTGTGAGTGATGCTCCCCCTTCAATTTCCATTATGCCTTTTCCAGGAGTTGATGGATCATACAATTTTCATCTTGCTTTACTCTGAATATTTTTAAGAAATGAGAGAACAATTCTTAGCGTTTGGAGACCGGTACAATTGAGAATTGAAGAGTAAAACTAATAACCAGTTAGACATGCAGAAGAGGAGATGAAAATTACTGAGTTCACTTAATCACTTTTTTGTCTTGCATGTCAGCTCCAGAAATCATGCAATTAGACATGGGTTTTCTTTTTGCTTTTATGTGTTTCATGTGAAAATAACAGAATCACATAATACTCTGAGTTGTAAGGGACCCACAAGGATCATTGAGTCCAACTGTTAAGTGGATGGCCTGTAGGAGGAAAATGATTTGGGGGAGCTAAGGAAAAAATTCTCCATCTACAAAGTTATTTGGGATTTTAAGGGCAATGAAACTTAAAAGATTACACTATTAATTTGCTTTGATTTTATCTGCTTATATACCTCGTGAGTTTTTCTCTCATTCAGTCAAAATATTTCACAAGAATTGTGGATATCTGAGGAGTATTGGTAATTATTTGTTTCTGGTAGAACCCACCTTGTGTTGGGTACTGAAGAATACTGTAGCACAATTACTCTTGTTGTTGTTTTCCTGCTTCAAAGGCAAACATGAAAAGGAGTGTGAGTGTGTGTGGGGATAGTTATGTTACATGAGCAAGCTCTCTGCTATATCTTAATAATCGGAAGCTTGTTTTCCAAGATTGAGGACATCCCTGTTTAATTTCTGTCTAGGTATTAGAAATGGATTGTTTTAGGTATTGCTGTAGGAGTGGGCCTTCTGGAATGATTTGAATGTCCAGAAAACAGTGACTTTGAGGATTAGCTCAGAAAGGTTTCCATGTATAAGGAAGCAGATAGAAGCAAATTTAGACTGCTGTGGGAAAAGTGGACAACTGGTGAGGCCAGGGTGATAGACACAAGCATTTCTGTAGAACCTCCAAAGCAGAAAAAATAATTTTGGTGGTGAGGCAGCTGATGAAAAGGGGTCAGTGCAGGGATTTAGATAGTAAGCTGATGTGGCTGATGTTTTCCTGACTTGTTGCTTTCTAGTAAAGATGTAATGCTTTACACCACCAGAAAAATGGTGTGGTGAATCACTGTGTGTGGACATGAGTATTGTACATGAGTTGAAATTGATCACGCTCTTTTATGTGTGTGTAGGCTTCATGAGTCTTTCAGTAGTTAAAAAAGTTCCAATTATGTGGTTGCCTTTTTTGATCCTCAGATATTTTGTGCTTAGAACTTGCTTATATTTTTTAATTTGCTTTTTAGCAGCCTTTTATTCCTGACCTTTTTTAAATTTGAAACTAGAGATTTAGAAACAAAGCACAGATATATAAATGCTGCTCAGATCTATGCTGAAGGCCTAACTAGAAGCTAAGAGATTTGTCAGTCTTAAACCTTTGTACAAAAGTGAGAGCAGAGACCCACATTTTGCAAGTTGTTAAGTTGGTCATACAATGTGTGATTCCTGTAGTTTATGTGTAGAGTCTCTTGCCTTCAGTTGGTCTACTGTTGAGGCAAATGGCAGGAAGACTTTTCCTTTCTTTTATGCATTCTCCTCATATGCTGTGAAAAATATCCTTATGTTCTCTTTAGGTTACCTGCACATGCTTCGTGCAATTGTTTATATAAAAAGTTGAGTTTTAGTTGGAGGCTATTAAAACAAAAACTTGTTTGAAAAAGTTGATGCAGTTTATTGAACAGTTCAATGCAATATTTTAAGAATTGTAGAAGATCTTGGAGGCGGTTAGCTCTGAAAGCTATGGTATTAAGTAATTGTGTCACTTTATATTGCTGTTTCTGATAACAGAATAGTTCTGATTACTCTTTTGAGAAAGTATCAACTTTAATTTGTATTATCACTGTGCTTTTGGACTTGGTCCATGACCTGGAGTCCAGCTGCTCTAGATTCTATAACAAGACTTTTACAGAGCAGAAGGATGGCACCTATGCTGTTTTTCTTTCTTCATCAGATGCTTCTGTGATATGTGAGGTATATTAAAAAAAAGACAGCCATTTGATATTATGGTGAAGATAACTGTTTTCCTTTGCTTGCCCGAGAATATCGCGTCGCGTAGTGGGAGTGTTTGTAAATAAGGCAGCCTTTCCCAAACTGTTTTGCTTCCTGTCTGCGTTTCAGCCAACTTGGTTCATTTGTGCTGTCTGCCCTCCAACTGCACTCTGTCAGTGTCCTAACCCAAGCGTGTGCTTTTATTTTTGCCTCTCATGCCTGGAAGCATCATTCATTTTCTTTGTCTCGTGCCTCTATTTCAGAGATTGCTGGTCTGTGTTTCAAAAACATTGCATTAAATGAGGGAGGCATAAAAACAGCAGAGAATGCAATTTCCCTAACAAGTTCCAAGTAGGAGCACTGTAGCAAAAATAACACCGAGACGTACAAGTGAGGTTAGCACCACCAGCACAGGATTTCCTGGTGTACAGAAATGTACATGTCAGTACAAAAAATGAAAACAAGCATAAGCTCCTATGACACCTTGGTGCCTCTAGGTGACTAAAAAGACACAAATTTTAAATGACTTACCTAAATAAGCTTTATATAAATGTTTTATTGTCTCAATATTAGGATAGCTATCTCTGTAAATTTCTCTGAAGATATGGCACTATAGTTTTACTGCTTTATATTTAGCTAACACTGTGTCCTTAAGATGTGCATGTATGAACCTATGATTCAGTTTACCAGCATGTTAAAAAGTGCACTTTTGCTGTGCTGAGAGTTTAAATCAAGATTATCTATAAACTTTTTACTCTGCCTAAAAATAACTGTGCATTTAGAAAAAAAGTACTAATAGCAAAATTAATTATTGCAATCCATGTTTTATTACCTTGCCAGAAGTCTTTAAAATATTGTTCTGAAAATTGTCAGCTAAATTTGTTGTGGCCTTGCTTTAGCCCATTCACTTTGGGAGTAACATATCACATTACTGGAAAGGATCCTTTTTTATATTAAGAACAGCATCTGAGATCATCAGTGCTGATACTGGGTTCATAAAAGAAGTAGGCTAGGATAATACAGTATTTGTTTACTAGCTAGTGAAATCATAGAATGAAAATATCAAAAAATATTTTCAGATAGTATTAGTGTTCTGATAGTGTCGGTGTTAGACAAGACAAGCATTAAACTAAAATTCACTGAAACTGACCCCTTCAGATGAAGCGTATGTGCTGAGTTCATGGCAGTACTACTCAAATGCTTAAGCTGTGATGAGATACTTTGTTTCTGAAAAATGTCATTGTAATGAGTAAGGCAAAAGTAACTTTTTTTTTTCCCTCTGCGGTGTCTACATCTGGCGGGAAGCCTACTTTCTGCTAAAATTCTGTGGGAGAGGAATTATATAAGAAGATATTTATTTTTAATTGCAGTTGTCACATTAAGCTGCAGTGTTATTCAAGAAAGAAATGTATTAGATAATGTATATAAAAAGTAGAAAACTTCGTCTTAATTTCTCAACATGCTCTATTTAGTTTCTTTCCAGAATTGCCAGGATATACGTTCAGTCTTGAATATTGATGGAGTTTAGGAATTTTTTCTGTTTTCACACAGGTGCTTACATAACATGTTAGCATTCTTTTCCCCTCTGGATTCTGTGTTGTTCGCTCGCACATCTGTCTTCACTCAGACCTGCCTGGTCAGCCTTTCTGCTTCAACAAGGAAGTTGTTGCTTCTCTCCAAGAAGGACCTGTTGAAAATACATACACCTTCAATGCATGGATAGTGCTGCTGCACAACAGAAAGGCTTATTCCTTTAACAAAAAATAGCTAATTCAGGTTTTTCCTGAAGTTGCCTAAACTTGCCTAAAATTGTAATCACTGTCTTAAAAGAGAAAACACACATCAAAAGTTCATTGATATTTTAATAGCATGGTGTATAGAATGTTTTAAAGTGTTTGCTTGCAGTTCTTCTATTGGAAAGATTTGGATGGATAAATCAAATGCAGGGACTGATGTGAATTAGTAAACAAGTGAGAATAAAAACTTTGAGGACTAAGGTGGTTTTTTTCCACCCTAGACTTCCACTTTAATACCACATTGGTTGTGTGGTAAAGTGTGCCCACTTCTGCAGACCTTTCATAGGTTGCTTATGATAAATAATTTTTCTAAACTACTGTGGTATTCAAGAAGCAAGTGAGACTTGCTGAGTTGTTCAATGTTTGGTGGAAGGAGGAGAAAGCTGTCTACTTCTTGTAGAGAAGGCTAGGTGGAATATTCACTGGGTTATCAACAATGTAAAAGCCGAATGTTCCTTTGAACACAAATGGAGTATGAATTGAACACTTCTTTTTTTCACTTTATACAAGAATTACTTTTTTCATCTTTTCTGCAGGCTTAATTTTCTTGCTATTTGTTGCAGGGAAGTCAGTTTAAGGAAGCTAGTACTGAATTTTCTTTTGAAGGCAATAGTTACACCTGCCACTTCTAGAGCATTCTGTTCTAAACCTGAGCCACCGCCAAGGAAACTGTCCTCTGCTCCAGTGATTGGGCTTTTGATGGTTTTCTTTTGATTGTGCCGTGGAATATGCTTTCTTGTGCTCTGGATCCCTCTACTAGCAGAGGGATCTGGAGATCCCTCTAGAAACTAGAGACCGTTTGGAAGAGGACAATAAAAATCCTTGGCATTGAAAGCCATTCTGAAATTGCTGTGGTACCAGTGGAACTGAGCGCTGCCGAGGTGGGTCAGCACTGGAGTACAGCAGTTTGTTGGAGTGGTACAAGGAGACTGATTGGTATGGCCAAACCATAGCACTTCAGTACAGAGATGCAGCTAGTTTGTGCTGTTTCAGTACAAACACTGCAGCTAGATAAAATGTTCTCGAGCAGCTTCTGCTGTTTGAAGTGCCCAGTTAGATATCACTGTGCTGATAGCCTAAATTGTAGCTTTGAGCAGCTTTGAGTGTCTTGGATAGGTTTACATAGCAAATACCAGCAGTAGAAAGGCTGCAGTGTCAAAGATCCCAGCAGCATACTCAGCCTTGCTTAGCTCTAGGGTTGCTGCCCAAAGCCTGCTCCTGCCTGCAGCTTGACTTGCCTGGTACTGAGAGTGTTTGAGCCAGACCAGGAGCAGAGCACCTGGTGCTGTATCTGTGCCCTAGCAAGGTTACTGTGACAGATTCAAGTGCTTTGTTTGGATATTGGGTGACTGAACTGTACCACCTGTCTGGAGTTACTCCAGGCCAGCTCTGGGGTTTCTCAGTGTGGGAAAACTTGCAAGTTTTCATTTGCTCCTTCCTGGTTTGAAGGACTTTGTGCATTAACTGTATTTGTTCAAGGAAGAAATGAAGGTACCTGGATTCTCATGGTGACTCTAGCATAGTGAGGAGAGCAGTGGAAGAAGCATGAAGTCTTTTTCTTAATTCTTCAGAGCCTGAAGGATTTGGAAAGTTGGTGTCATCTGAAGGACTATCTTATTAGTTTGTTAAAAATTGGTTAGACTCTATAATTTCTGGCAAAAGCATAAGATGAAGTAGCAGATACACTGCTGAAATTTTATAGTGTACCTTGAAATGACAGTTGTTCCTGGTCAGTCAAGGTGTAGCATAAAAACTACAGATTTTGATAATGACCGCCATATAAGTGGAGAAAGCTGTATAGGAAATGTATTTTTAGAATAAATAAAAACCACAGTTAAAACATTGAATAATTTACAGGCACTTAAACTGGACTTAAACTGCTTACAATTAGACATGGACTTGCTATCTTTTTGTTTTCTTGTATGAATAAGTCCTGGTATTTCTTGTGATGCCAGAAAACCCTGTGTAAGATGCTGACCTTCACAGAGTAAGTTAAGGACTGACTGTGGCAGGAAGGCTGAGCCAGTAATTGGCATTACTGCAGACATTACTATTTTCCATAGTACAGTAGTTGAACTATAAAATACTTTTCCTAGGCTTCTCAATGTGACTTTGCCAAATGAAGGCAAAAGACAGTTATTTAAAAGATGAATCCAAAAAATCGTCTCTTTTAGGGCTGTAGCAAGAGGACTTCTGAAGTTTCTATGTGGCTACTTACTTAAAATTATGAAGGAGGAGCTAGAGCATGGATAGTTGAGGGAGTTTTATTTTCCTATTCTCTTAGCTGGCTTTTTAAATTTTTGTAAAAAGAAGTAGCAATTCATTAATAATTAGCATCATTAAAGTTTCTTAGGTGTTTCCTCTGAACCTCTAGAATATACAAATAATGTTCTAGATTTGGCAGCAAAAGTTCAAGAATCTTTTTCCCTTGCGAAACTGATGTTTATTGCTACTGAGATATTCCATTTATTTGTCTCACATACAGTTGTCCATTTGAACTGGTGTTGGTGTTACCCCCAGTGGGCTGATTCATGCAGCTCCAGTCTCAGGGGAGTGCAGCTGGGCAGCGTTTCCTTCTCTCTGTGGTGTGCGTGCTACTCGTCATCCTCCTCTTGCAGCCCTTCCTGTGGTTATGTATGACTGTACTTCTTTTGCTGTTTCCTGTGCCTAACACATGGAAATGGCTCACCAGGTTATGCAGTCTGTTTTGGAGGGAAAATTCCTGTTCTGATGAAAATTGAGGGTTTATAATACGCGTTCCTTTAGCTGTGCCACTAAGTTGCATTTTATTTCCTTTGAGGATTAGGATCAGGAAGTTGTTTCCGGGTGTCACCACCTGGCTGCAAGTCCTCCCAGAAGTTCAAGTTGGATAGTTTGGTACAGGATGTTCCTCTGAGTTGGATGTGTGCCTTCCTACCTTGAAGCTACCCATTACTCATGCCTGTTGGCTTGCAGTGGCCTGGCCATACTGATTAGTGTCTTTATAATTTTCTGTGAGTGCTTGTACAGAAGATTCATTTGAACTGCAGCTTGCATACCACCTTTTTTTCCTGTCGAAGTAATACCTGCTTGAGAGTTTTGTGTTAATTATGACAGCTTCTTGTTGTTCTTTGTAGTTTTTTAGTATTGAATTAATTTATTTGTGGTTAAAGTCTTGTATGTCAGGGCCCTTGTTTCTGGGCAGGATGAATTTCTTCTTGCATCCTTCACACTTGCTTTCAATTGAAAGGATTTTTTTGGCTACATTTCAGGAAATTGTTGCCACTTTACAAAGAATGTGATGATGAAAATTATCTTAAGCTCTTAAGGAAGCAATAAAAGTGTTTGTGCTTTCTGTGAAAGAGTTTGAGATATTTTTAAGTGTGCATTTTCTATATGTTGCACTTTAAAAGAACCAGTGCATCCAGTTCAAAACTCTACTTAACACATGTATTTCCAAGAAGGGCCTGCAAGAATATGGGTCTTCATAAAATAAGCTTGCCTTCTAGGTTTTTTGAAATTTATTTTCTTTTTGATATCATTGTCATCATTGTCCTCGTTTCTAAAGTTCAGACTCCTCATTGCTTCTTTCTGAATTTGTGCTTTAACTTCATGCTACGAATGCTTTCATTTAGTAACTTTTCATTAACTTCCTTTTTCATAGTATGCACTATTATGTTTTTGGTTATTTTGCTGAGAAGACAGTAGTACCATATTCTATTTCCCTGCCAAAAAAAAAAAAAAATCTATGTAAAACAGATACTGGTGAATAAACCTGTGGTTAAGGAAACTTTTTCTGATTTTTCTTTTCTTTTCCTTTTAGTTCCTGGAATGGATGGTGGTGGGTTAGCTGATGCTAATCTAACGGATTCATACTTTAGCACCAGCTTCATTGGTGTTAATGGATTTGGAAGTCCTGCTGAAACGAAGTATCCCATGATGCAGGTAATAGCAGTGATTTGTATAATGTTTCATTAGTTCTGGCTGGTGTTACACCAAAAAAGGAAAATTGCTCTAGAGGCAGGACAAATGGAGCCTTCTGGAGGGTCATCTTGTATGATATACAGTGTATATACTCACTTTAATCTTGTAAATGGAAATGAAACAGTATCATTCCTTTAAAATTAATCTGTTTTTATTTGCGCTTACCTGTGCTGTTGTGCTGAGCTTTGCTGCATCCATTAACTCTGTGTTAGATTTCTTTTCTGAATGTGACTTTCTAGATTTCTTTTTAGGCTCATAGCTTTTGATAGCCTTTTGCTAAACATATGAAAATCAAGTTTTGAAACTTTAAAGATCAAAAGTTGCTGAAGGAAAATGTGAACTGTCAGACATGAAATTGCTAGGCAAAAATTTCAGAATTTGTCAGCTCAGACTCTGGTGGTGGTATGTTGAATTCATACTTAAATCTTCTGAAATATTTCCTTGTATTTATAGTGTTCTGTAGAGGTTGGCATAGGAACTCCCATGAGGTGGAACATATTGTGTAGGTAGCATTCTGCAAAATTTGCAACAAAAGTCTGTCATATTTAAATGAGTATCTACTGAATTAACACATGAAGTACTATAATAATTCCCTGAAAGTGTTATGCGTTTAAAAAGAATCAGAGCCTGTCCCTAAAAGAAGATGGTTTGTCCTGTACTAAATAAAGCAGCTTCCATTAAATGAGAGCGAGCACAAATCAAACAGTTCACACTGAGTCCTGACAACAACTCTCTTCTTTTATATCGAGGAAACTCACCTTATGAGGTTACTTTGATCTCAATTGTGGCTGTATTATGGATTGAAAAATAACTCAGCAAAAGGTGGGAATTAATTAGGTGTGTTCCTTTTTTCTTTTGTTTGATTGTTTGTTTTTTTACTGCATGTTTTCAAGAAGACTGGATTTTTCTTATTTGACAGAATTGCAGAAGTATGGAAATGTTTTCTTGACAGTTATGCATGATTTAAAAAGAAAAAATTTAACCTCTGATCCCAAAGTGTACTATTGGAGCTGGCAGTTACAAATTTTTGTATAACTGAGGTCCTGTAATTTTAACACAAAGTCATTATGTTTTGTATCCTTAAACTGTATTCTACAGAAACACTGGTGTCTTTCTAAACATCAATTTTTAATTATAACTGTTTCTTCTAGAAAGACAATGAGGCATGAATCTAACATGAATGCTGATAGGATTTTTAAATACTTCACTAATGCCTGAGATTACAGTCAAGGCATTATTGTTTCTCTTTGAGAGGAAATCAGTGTGCCTCTTGCCTGTTGGAGAATAAGGAAAATTACTTCAGAAGAAGGGTTTTATTAGTGTTGAGAATGTGCTTAGAGGCATCAAACTACAGTTTGAAAAGCATTCCTGTATTGATTTCTTTCCTTTGATTCCTGTAATTTAAGTTCTTGTTTCCACAGGTAAAATGGGTAACGCTGTTTTGAGTGTGTGTCAGCTGCTAGGTTAAGTCCATACTGACAGAGTTTAGCCACTTGGAATGAGATTTTCTGTGTCATTCAGCCCTTTGGAGAAGAAGGCAAGGGAGAAATTTTAGTGGGTTTGACTTTAAATAATACTAGTCCTTTATGGTTTGGAATAGAGACTTCGAGTCTGATAGATTGGTTATTCTATCAAGGATGTACCTCTTGCTTGCTTTCTCTGAAAATATGCACAGATTTTGTCACTTTATTAAGCCTCTGCAGAACTGGTTTATATGGACCCACTGGAGACTTCCTAGACGTTAAATGATTTCCCAAAGATGTAATCTGCTCTGGCATGTTATAGCTTGAGTACATTTTTGCAGCTCTGGCATAATCTAGGCCTGAACTCAGAGCAGGAATGCTGATCAGCTTCTTTTCCCTCTTTCCTTTTCTTCCACTTCAGACTGAAGCAGCATGGAAGTTGATCTATATTTAATAAAAGACTGCTGTATCTGTGTTAATTGGAGCAGAGGGGTTGGTAAGGGAAAAGAAACATGCTATAGGCTTAGAGAAGCTGAGCTGAAGATAAGTGAGGAAGAAACCAGGAAAGATTGTTCTCCTCTCCACTTCAGTCCTTTTGCTCATAGTGGGAGACTCACAGAATGGGGACTGGAATGGTACAAACACAATACACAAAAACTGGAAACAAGTTTTCATAATGTAAAGGTGGGACAAAGTAGGGTGGAGAGAACAAATCCATGTTCCTGTTTCTCTCCTGATTCTCAAATCAATCTAAAGATACTAAAAATTTAGTATTCTGCCATCAATGAAACATCAGATGTCTTCTGTAAAATATTTCATTAATTCTGTTTTGCTTTTGCAGATGGAAACATTGGTTCCATCTGAGTTACTTTGTCATCTCTGGTGAATCTGTGTAGTTCACGAATAAATGCATCAGTGATGTAGTATGAGGCAAGCTCTTCAGCTTGTTTCTTAAACTGGGAAGTTGCACAAACATGCAAATAAACATACTGATAGAAAAACAGTAGTAAAATGCAGCAAAATGTTAGGAAATGGTAAGTTTAGGTTGCCAGTGCAGCCTTGAGGTTGTATTTAGAGTGGTATTTCTCATAACGTTGTGTAATTCTTTCAGTAGGAAAATTATTAGTGGAACTTAATCAGAATACAAGATGTGTGGCACATCCATGTGTATTGAGCATCTCTTTGGTATTTAATTAAATGTTCATTATATGGTTCTGTGCTTTATTCCTGCATGCTGTTTGCATCCTTGTGAAGACTCTTAGCTGGCAGTGTACTTTTGGGTGCCATTACAATTATTCCATCAAACTTTGTGGAGTGCTTTCTGTATGAAACCAAATAGTACTCTACATATTGTAGATGCATAGGATGGAAAAGAATGGCTATTAAACAGTGGTGCAACAGTGCTGGCAAACAAAAGACCTGAGTTTTTGAAACTAATCTTTACAGTTGGAAGGTGAAGGATGGAATTAATGACCACCAGTAAAATGCTTGGTTCAAGTTGCTTAACTGGCCTCACTCTAGCGAAGATAGTAAAAAAGTCAGTCTCTTCAGGGTATTGCTCATTTCTGTTACCATGAAATAATCTTTCTGATATCCTTGTTTTATTCACTACATACCTCTCAACATAATCATCAGGTATTCAATTGATGAATTGTCTTGACTATTCCTACCTAATCTCCAGAATGTGTTTTTCCTAAAACAGAGGTTTGATGAAAAGAGGTTGTATATATTTGTTGTGGTTGTATATGTTTGGGTTATCATAATATATATATATAATGGAACCAGACTGCATCAAATGAAGCTATGTCAAAATTTGCAGTTTCCATATTTTTGTGTGCAGTGCCTGTTCTCTAAGACTCAATGTTAAGTAAGCACCAAAAAGGAGAAAAGGGGATTATATCATGATGAACTGGGAGTGGATGTGCTGCTTTGACCATAAATAGTGTAGATGTATAGTTTTCAACATTTCTGTAGAATGGCTATTTTGACTTTCAGATTTCATTTATATCTGTGGAAGAATATTTTATGAGATCTTCAACATATCTTTGGGCTTAGATTAGTGGTGAAGATAGTGAATGGCAATACTCACTTTGCAATGGGGAAAACAGAGTAAAAAGTACTTGGTACAGTTCAGAAGAGGCAGGATTTTTGAAGTGGCCATGACTGTAATTCTTCCTTTTTCTTCCTTTCTGAAAAGATCTCTTTGCCTCAACCTTCCACTCTTCCTACTTAAAAGGTCTTTGCTGTTGGCCAACCTTTCATTGGCCCCCCATCATCTTCTGTTGTTACTTAGTTTCCTATTGACTAATAGTCTTCTGTCCTCATTGCTTTGTTTTTCTGTAAGACTTTTTGGTTTCACATGTCGCTTTCCTGAATCTGCATATGCTTTCATATACTATATTAACAGCTTTGTTTTCCATCTTATCAAAGCACTTTTTTTCTGTTTTCCCCTTCTGTAAGTAATACTAACTGACTACAGAGTAGGCCAGTGCAGCCCATGGCCCACAACCTGCATGCTGTCCTTGAAGCATTTTTTTAATTTTTTTTTTTTTTTACTTTTTGGCATAGCAGCAGCTGCCAAGAGACAGTCAGAGGTGTGGTTTGAAAAGCAGCTCACTGCTTTTGGCTTTCCCAGCAGTGAAGAGACAGGAGCTGGCTGGCTGGGATGCCTCTAATGCTTGGCTGTTTGCTCAGTTGCTCTGTGTGTGTCACTTCGTTGGCAGGTGTCACTGTTCCTCTGGCATTAGTGGTTCCCTTTGACTAACTTGTGGCTTGACCAAAGATGCAGGTGGTGTGGAAAGAAGCTTTGATAATATTATGTCAGGCTGTTCAAAGGATATTCTAGCAGGATGAGGCAGAGAAGTATCTTGATGTTAAAACTTTTAATATGTTAGAATTGAGCAGCTTGGTTGTAAGAGCATAGAACAGTACAAGTTGCCTTATCCCTGTTGCTTCACAGAGATCTGGTCTTCTTTATTTTGATGGGATGAGATTTATAACTACATGGATTCCATTGGACTGCAGGTTACGTAGAAAGGAAGAATCTTAAGTTCTCAGTACATCAGCCTAATTGAAATAATAAGGGAATAACTGTCTTCAGCATTAAAATTGGCAAGGCCAAGCAATGGAGAAGAATTGGCTTTGCTTGCTTTCACCGTGCAAATGTTGGTGTACTAAGCATTCTTGAATAGCCTGAGAAGTAGCAACCATGCTCACTTCAAAGCCTTGCAGCTGAATAAACACAAAGACTTTTGTTGCCATTGCTGCATCTGCCAACAGTCTAGTAATAAAACTCTCCTTATAGCACAGAAGCTTGTAAATGTCTTCAGTTTTTAACTGTTGGGAACTGAGTGGAGCTACAGATGTGCTGCTTTAAATATAAAATTATGCAGTTGTTTTCATAATGCTTTCTGAAGAAATCCACTTGCTTTAGTTTCAGCAGTTGAGTGGGTCATTCTGTAGATGGTACCACATATACTGTCAAAGACAGGTTTTGGATTTTTTAAAAAGAAAAGCAAAAGATATCACCCTGTGTAGGTCACAGAATCTGACAACTAAACAATGTCACAGCCAAACAAATTAATCTCAATCTTTTGCAGAATGACTGTTTGTATTCTAGTCAACATTATTCTAAAAATTATAAAGAAATATGCTGACATACAGTTCCAGTAAAACGGTAGTAAGATGGAGAGACTGGATTGTGACATACTGCAAAATATTTTGAAATGTGGAATGGCCATGAGGAAAATCCCTACTTTATCAGGGTTAGGGCAGGGATTATAGAGAAAAAAGGAATAAATATCATCTCTTATGTATTTTGGAGAGAAGAAATGGAGGAGAAAAAAAGGAAAAACAGTCACTTCGAGATAAGTCCTTATAAGCTATGTAAAGCCAGATCTAATTGTCTGCATCAAAGTTTTACTTGTGCTTTATCTTGATGAGAACTTTGTAATATATACTTGAGGGAGATGAAAGTAAAGCAAACTTGCCTTAAGTGCAGCTATAATTTTGGGGTTTGTGACTGAGTATTGAAGGGTGGAGGCAAGGTGGTGTGCTCCTTTTAGAAGGTGGGAATGTTTGTTATAACACTTTTCTTCTTAGTATACTGCACAGAGGAAGTGGACTGCCTGAGGTAAAACATTGCTAAAAGGTCAAGGGTGATGATCTTCCCTTCTGTCCAGCAGTGAAGTCACACCTGGAGTGCTGGGCTTCTCACTACATGAGAGACAGGGATATACTGATGAGAGCTCGTTGAAGAGTCACAAAGAGGATGCAGGTATGGAGCATCCCTCCTGTGAGGAGAAGCTAAAACAGAAACAACTTTTAAATTCTTTTAAAGGGAGAGGGGCAGATGTATGCCAGCCATCCTAGTTGGATTTTGAGTACTGTTTAAAGAACCTTGGCAAATCATAGCAATAGGCAGGCAGAGAAGAGAAGTTTGTGGAACTGAGTGTTTTACTTGGTTATCACAAGGTTTCTTTCTATATTAACTTCCATATGATAAAAGCCCTGATGTAGTAAAACAGTCTGAAGCTCTCATGTGTGTGCTTACCTTCCCTGTCAGGCTTAATATTTAATTTTCTTCCCTGTTAATGGTTGCTTTTGCCTTTCTGGAGCTTTCATCCTTTGGGCTTGAGGTGCTTACAATCTTCTTGAAATTGAGTTTATATGAAAAACAGTTTGACATCATTAGAAGAGGTTGAAAAATGGTAGTTAAAGTTAAAGCTGCCTTCTGGAAAACACAAATAACAATCAGCACTTGTGTGTTCTTTTTTTTTTTTTTTTTTTTTTTTTTTTTTTACTTTCAAGACCTTTTAGGTAAAAATCAGATACAGGAGTAGCCTTCATTAAAACTAAATGCATTTTGACGTGGTAGAAATCTTTATATTAAAACAGTTATTAACAGTTATTAAAAAAGCCTTTATTGATTACATGCAGGTATTCTATGAATAACGTTAAGGTAAGAAGCTTGTGTACGTGTGATAAAAGTGAGCAAAATGAAAAACTCATGGATTTGGTGGATGTTTCTAAGTATTCAAGCTACAGGTTGCAAGCAGTTGATATGGCAAGAGCTGCCCAAGCTTTGTTTTTTTGGAACCCTGGTGTGTGTAAGATATGTTTGCACCTTGGATGTGAACTTGACTTTGTAAAAGCACGGTTGATGCTCACAGGTTTGGGTTGCACTGTGCTTTCAGAATCCAGAACAATATGCTCTGTCACAGTCTGCCTTGATGCACTGTATGTTCTCAGTGATCATGTCAGCACTGGTTTTCATAATCTCGGGCTCCTGTTCACAGTGAAAGTTCTGTTGGTTCAATGTTAAACTCCTGTGCCTGAGGATGGTGAATATTGATGGAATAAAAGTACTTTGTTCCATGTTTAACCTATATGCTTAAGCAGCTTTGATACCAACATAGTTCTCAATATCATATTTATTCCTGTTTCAACAAATCATTGTCTTTTGCATTATAGTTATTATTAAATCTGGTATTATAAGTGGATATTAATACTATTTTTATCTATGCCTATACAAATCCTGTGCAAATCTGAAAGATTCCCCTTGGAAATTTCTTCTTAAACCCCTTTTTTTTATGGGGATTGATGTGGATGTCTCAAATGTCAAAAAAAAAAAGCATAACAGGGATGCTTCTTAAATATTTGTGACAAACTATTCAAGTTCTTTGCATTGCTTAGAAAGGGAATATGGCATATGATTACTTGAGCTACTGTAATTCAGAAGTGATCTTGATGTGTTTTTATTCTTATTTTGATGATTGTGAGCAATAGGATGAGTGTCCTTGAATTTGGGCAAAATTTATCATTTTAGTGTGGGTCTCTCAAAGTGGTGCCTTGTTTTGTAAAATAGTTAACTTTTGCTTCACTAGACCCACGCCTTTTGTGTATATAATTATCACTTGAGCAGTTAGTGATATTTATATTGTCAGTTCAGTATATTTAGGAGCAAGAGACAGGTGACATCAAAATAAGGAAAGAGCCTGTAGCAAACTGCTTGCTTGAAGTCTTAGAAAAGCTGAAGGTTTATGTTCTATTTAGGTGTTGTACACATTCCACATAAAAGCTACTTTACACCATCTATACTTTTAGATACAAATTTTAAAAGCAGCAGCTCCTGGTGAAGTTTGTGGTGCTCTGAAAACTGTAAGTGTTGGGAGACTTGAACTGTAGTAGGTTTGCAGTTCTACTATATTGGATAGCACTCCCACTTCTGTTGGTTGTCCTCTGTTCTTACCAAAATTACTTCAGAATATTGATCTTTGTGGTCAACAATTAGATGAAATGGCATTGAAGTATAACATGGTAAGCTTCCTGCCCTTTGCCACCAACATTGAGACTGGCTATGGAGAAAAATAACTGTAAAGAGCAACTCCAGTGACCAGTTCTGAGTCAGTCTGTGTCTAGACTACCAAATGAAACATGCCTGGAAACCTTCCTTGATGCTTAGGGCCAGCTGGCACAAAATGGCCTGTTTGTGCTGGTGTGTGCTCACCCACTAAAACAGAGTCTGCATGCAAACTGTCGATTTGAAGGGTTCTCAAACCTTTTCACTGCTGAACAGTGCCTGGAAATTAGCTGGGAGACTCTGGGTTGATGTGGGCCAAAAGCATGCCAGGGAGTATTTTAACAAATTAGGGGTTGTCTCTCTCAGTGAGGAAGAACACTTCCTGACCCGGCCTTCCTTTTCTTCTCACACTTTTTCTTCCTGTTGGGAAGCTGGTGAAAGAAAATAATAAGCAGGAATAAGAAGAGATGCTTTAAAACTTCTGTATCAAAGAAGCAGTAGCTCTTAGAGCAGCACTGCTTCACTTTAGTCCAGTTTATTGCTAGCTGATATTTATAGAGGAATGTAGGAGAAGCAAGTGGAGCCTAGGAGGAATGTTAAAAGGGTTATGTTTTGCTGAAAGGTCTCAAAAGGTTCTTTTATTTTTAAAAAAGAATCTATCAAATACCTAATTTATGTATTTTTCATTGGAGAAGTTTCATATTGTGGTGTTAGTATATTAAAGGGAGGAGTTGTTCTAGGAGTGCAGTGTGAAAGGCTGTTTTAAGGAGATAAGTAATTGTCTTATCTAATGTTTTCACAACATGCAGGAAGAGAGCCATATGTTTGGTATACCCTCCTCATTTAGAAGAAATTAATGAAAATAGTGTTTACTTTTAATATACATTAGTTTTTGGTTTGCATTTCTGTTGTGCAAAATGCTTTATTTTACTAAACATTTTTGTGAATTAAAAGTCTGCTCACTGTATTTACTAAGTGGGGAATGAGCACAAGTTTCCTAGTCTGTCCTTAAAACTTTCTAAAGGTCATCCCCAATGCCTTCACTTAACCTGTTAAGGCTTTATTTTACATGCACGCTTTCATCTTTTATTTTTACAGAGGATGACAAATAGCAGCAGCTCCCCTAGCCTTCTTAATGACAGTGCCAAGCAGTATGCAGGCCATGGTAAGTATATTTAAAGTAATACATATAAAAGTGTGTGTGAAAATTTGAGAGATTCACTTTCACAAAACTGAGGGAGTGTCAGCTAGCTCCCTGATTTTATTTGAGATACAGCAGAACTTTGTTTTTTAGCAATAGTGTAATGAACTCATAAATTTTTAGCCTTCTCTTTGCTGTGGTGGAAAAACTAAAAGAAGTCATTATCAGTCTTGTCACTTCAAGTCAAATGTTAGTTTGGATATCCACTGTAAAGCACTGATAGCTTAAGCATTTTTGTTGCTTCACTTGTAATATCCCTTTTTATTATGCTTCTTGGATAAGCTACTCTGTGGGATGAGCGTACAGGTGTTTTCTGTAAAATTTAGGTTGTGTGGATTTTGTGAAATGCCACATATCTGATGATTTTTAATAGCTATTCAGTTTTGTCTTGCGAGTAGTACTTTGCCTCTTACAATTTTTTCCTTGCTATAGGAACATGTTTTATATACATGGTTTTCAGCTGAAGAAAATGTCTTGATAGTGAAAGCCTACGTACTCACTAAATTATTGTGGAGAATGTATTGAGCTTTGTAATGTGCTCTTCAGAATCACTGCGGATTATTTCAGCTCTAGCTGTTTAAATTAAGTTCTTTAAAGAAAAGGGTACTGCTTCCTTATGGCAAGAATATACATTTAAAATAAATTTCTGCTTTGAAAATTGCTGTGTAAATTATGCTCTAGAACTCCATTTGCATGTCTGACCCTGAAGCTAGTCTACTTACCAGGATTATAATTTTTTAAGCATGGTAGTAACTACTATAAAATGAACTTGCTTGAAAATCAAAATTTGTGGGTTTTTTGTTTCTTCTTCCTAGTTTATTTCCAGTAGGATTTGAGATCACTCTGCTTCTTTTGTCCCACTGAACAATTAGCTATTCAAGGCAGTGCAGGTCTCCAGTTTTAAATGCAGTCAGAGTTTGACTGTGACAGGCCAAATAGTAATGGTGATGCATGTCAAGGAGAGAAACCATTTTAAATTTTGTTGTGTCTCAGATCCTTCTCCCTCCCTCTCCCCAGTTCTGCCAAGCAGTGCTTCACTTGTAGAATTGCCCTTTCAGGGAATATTTATTGTTGAACAAATATAAGATCAATTTCCTGTTAAGAATTTAATGTTGAAGAAAGTGTTTCATCAAAGCACCAATGTTTACTGCTAGCAGTCATCTGCTAATTTGACAGTATTAGCTGTGTAGTTTGGAGTTTTAAGTTGCATCTGTGGATGTTATACCGTTTTTGATACTTCAACTCTGGAAAACATGAATAAGAAAAAAGAAAAAGCAATAAAAAGTTATTAATGAAATGTGGACTTGTGCTATCCTTGGTTCTGATTTAAATTTGATGTGCTGAACAGTGACAGGACAAGCAAAATCCACATCATTATTTGTAAGATCTATTATACAGAAGATTGCTAATTTCAGGAAAATGGAGATCATAAAATCATCGGACCTTTTATACAGGAAAAAATTTTTTACAGTAGTCCAGCTATTATCCAGGTGCACTGCTAAAGCTTTCCCTCAGTACTACATTTACACAGTGCCCTTAGGGATGGTGACTCATGCACTTGCCCTGGGCAACCTGTTCCAAAGCTTTTCAAGCCTTTGAGAGGATCTTCTGGTGAATTGGAAACATTGTAATGTATCATCTACAGGGTTAAAAATGACATGCAAATGTAAGGAGCACTTAAAACAGGTTTTCTGATCAGATGAAGGCTGTGAAATGTTAGGTAGCCTTTAAATAGTGTCAACAGCAATTAAACTTACTGAATTCTGTTAATGAGCACCATTTCAATTAAGCAGTTGCATAGAATAAGTGCTGGGGGTTTTAGCGGTGTGATTGCTAAATTTAGCTTTATCGAAAGGATTTTTTTCTGTACAGAAATAAGTTTAAAAATATAAAACTTTTAGTAATGTGTGTGTATATATATGTAACACATTGGTTTTACATTGGTTTTATAGATCCACTAACTTCACCAAATTCATCCTTGTTTAATGACTTTGCTGCCCTCAGCGTGTCTCAAAGGAGGAAGGTAGGCAACAACTAAATCATAAGTAGCATATTTATATATGAGTTGACAGTGAAGAAGATCTGGAATAACTTGAAATGCTACATGAAATAAGGATTCTTCTGATGTTACTGGATTTATTTTAATGGGCTGCTGCTGATATAAATAAGATCTTACTGCTTCATGTTTGCTACATCAGATCAGACTGCGGCTATTAAGAAATATTCCAGACACTTGTAAACTGAAGTTTATAGAATACAAAACTTAGTGCATAGCCTATTGAATTTGAAAATAAATTATTTTTATTCTACAAAGGGGCATGTGACCTACAAGCCTTTATGGCAGAAAGTTCAGAGTACATGAAGAATCATTCTCCCATTTATTTCAACTTTGTGATAATAATAACAATTTAAAATGAATTTAGGTTGAAAGACACTTATCATTGCGAAGTGAAGGTTTGGGCTTTTTTCCCCATCCCTCTAATTCATACTGAGACATCTTTCTTTTGCTGAGGGCTAGACAACATCTTCAAACACCTTTGACCTGCAACTGAGCAAGTTGTGGTGTTTTCCAGGTATACACTCACTGGCTCGAATAAGAGACAAAAGTTTGATTATGTGAGAGTTCCTTCTCATTTTTGTGAACTGTCATTTAACAAACTAGACATTACCTTGTCCCAACCAGTTATTAAGTTTTACTTTCACTGATTTTCATGTTCTACTACTTATTAGCCACATTATCCTGAGCTTTCCTGTAGTAAATGATGAAAGCAAGCTACATTAGCATGTTCTGTATTATTCCTGCAGGTGAAAATTGAGCTTAAAGATAATTGCTGTAGTTGGTCCATCACACTGTTTTTTAAATATAAATGCTGTTGTAGAACATTAATTTTCTAATATTATGATGTATCCAAGCTACATGGAATATCTGCATTGCTGTTTTCCTTAATGCCAGTACTGTGCACTCAAAGTTGGATGTAAAGAACTATAAATGTTACTTATCCACTTACCAAGGCATGTAAAAATGAAAAATAATTGTACGTTCCTTCTTCTCACAGGCTTTGAGAGCCAATATATGCACATATGTATGTATGTGCCTGAGTGTAAGCTTGTGCTTGTGTATGAACCACAGGCACCAAAGAAAATAAGCTATCAAACAGAAATATTGCAAGAATGACCACTGTCTCCAAAAATTACTTTGAAGTTAAGCAGGACAAAGTGAAAACAAACCAATTAATGTTTGCTTGTAAAGCACGATTACCTCAAAGCTCGAATAGTAATTCAGAGTGCTTTATGACTTGGTCCATTTTTTCCTCAAGAAAAAGAAGTAAATTAAGGCACTGGCTGCTAAAATAGTATTAAGAGTAAGTTTTATCTGTGAAATTCATTAACTTGGAATTTTTTCTACTTAGCATTTCAGCTATAACTGGCATTAATTGAAAGGGGTTTGTATTTTTCTTTGTATATTAATATTTTTTTTTATTATGACTGCTATTTTGTAATGTATGCTTGTATTAAAGGTTGTTAAATACCAGTAATGGGGAAGTTTTCATAAAATACTACTTGAACTGTCTAAATCTAGGCATCCAGGCTCCCTCTATAGTCAGCACAGGGAGATGAGTTATTTAAAGAAACATTTAGTTCTCTCTGAGAAAAATACTTGGGAAATGACCAGATGTTGGTGATTGCTTTAAGTGGACAAAAATCAATGGCTAAAGTTATGAAAAATTAATGAGTTGTGACTGACTTTTGCTGCCAGTCAATACATTGCAAGTAGTTATGATGTAGTTTTAAAATATTTTTAGTATTTTTGTTATAATATCCAAATGGTCTGAAGTGATTGCCTTAAAGGCACTAAATGCTTGAGAGCCAGGTATTTAAGAACTTACATGATTCCCCTCTACCCCATTTACTGGGGTTTGTTTAGAACTTGAGCAATGGGGTTTATTGGGCCAGTGCTTGGTGCCTGCTGTATCAAGGGAGCCTTGGTGACTAGTTCAAATGTAGGTGTTTACAACACCTACTATGAAAAAAATCTCCATTATCTAAGAGCCCATGTCTAATGTTTTGTTTGTTCTGAACTAGCTGGCAAAACCAGCATTTCCTTCGTTTATCACTGACTTGGAGGACAGATATAATACAGTCTTGGTAAGTGAACAAAGAACAATTCCTTTCGTTTAAAAAAATCACAATTCTATTTAGTAATATTTTGAAGTATTAAGTTATTTGGAACTATGTAAAAACTGCATGTTTGTGTAAAACTGAACAGTTTCTGTAAAAGCATATACTATGTAGTTCTGTTAAGCAGGTTTATTGATTGTCTTTGGATATTGCTGATCATGTTAAGCTGGCAGCCCTTTAACAATGGGCAAGCCATATGGAGAAATATTTGATATCAATGAAATAGTAAACATAAGTTGATGATTGTAATTCTGAATATCCTTGCTTTTTAATTAGACAGTATTTTTGAAACTAGTTAGTACGACTAAGCTATTTTATTTGCTTTTGATTATTTGATGTTTAGAGTCATTCTACTTTCTGTTTAAAAAGTAAACATAGTCCTTGAATTTTTATGTACATTCTTGAGGCAATTATCTCTGTTTAGAAATTATTAAACTGCATTTCAATTTTAGATTTCAGGAAAGCTAAGATTACTGTTTAAAGACATTTTTATAGGATACTTAAAATGAAATCAAAGGAGCTAAGTATTTCTGTAGATGGAGCCTTGGTGGAGGTTCTGTCAACTCTAAAACCTTCTGGATTTACTGTCCGGTTGTTGTAACTCTACATGCAGTAAGACAAGCAACCTTAAAGTGAATTTCTATAAGAGATTTTTAGGTAAGTATTAATCTACAATGCAAATAGGATTTGTGAAGCATGGAACAGAAGCTAGAGTTAGTAATAGACTAACACCTTTTCCCAGAATAATGATGTCATGCTTATTTCATTTTTTCTTCAAATACATATTATGCTTGTTAAAAATAGGGTGACATTCTGAACTTGAACTTCCTGGGTGTTTTTCCTAAATTGACTTTAGCCAAAATTTAGAAGAGTGCTCCTCTCTAAAGCTGAAATGATCAGTCTGGAAAAGTTCTTGCTTTCATTTTGCTGCTTCTGGTAAACAGTTCATAAAAACTTGTGTGACATAACTGATCAGAATCTGCTGTCAAGGACATGACAGCTTAATGCACTAAGATGAAAATACATTATGAACTTCTGTTTAAATTTTTTCTGAGACTGTTGCTACCAATCCAGGCTAAAAGATTTCTGTACTTGTCACTGGTCAGCCTTACAGTATAGTGAAAAGCATTTATTTTTACATTTTGCTATATTTTTTCATACCTTCAATCCTCATGAAAGCTGAACTCTTATAAAAAGTTTCTAACACTGATGTATTTCCATTTCATTTTTTTAATTGTTCAGTCACAATTAGAGGAGGTCCATTAAGGTGAGAATAACTTCAGTTCATAGGCTGCAAGGGGTGAATTAATTGCTGTGCTGAACAACTTTAAACACAATTTTAATGCTGCTTTTTATATATTTAGAAGTAATTTTTTTCTAGAGTGCCTTCCATTGGTTTTAAGTGAGTAAAGGCAAGGACAAAAACTCTAGATTAGAAAGGAAAGTATGAGAGATTATCTGAATTGAAGTTTTCCCTGAACAGGGTGCAGCTGTTCAGTGCCATCTGTGGAGATTTACAGCAAGTGAGACTGCACAGCAGACTTAATTAATTTACTCTGATCAGCAGAAATAAGTGTGCATAGAAAATTATTTGAAGCAAAGACTATCTGTAAACCTAGTTTGCATAAATGCAAACTTGTAATGAGTATGAGAAGAGTTTGACCTCTCAAGCTAAAAGAAAACAAAGATAACATTAGGTCCTGTGGATATTAAATTCTTAAGACTTAAATGGTTGCTGTTTTATTTTTAAGTGTCCTGCCTACCATCTAGTTTTGTTACCTGTTGGGAAACTGTATTTCTCTCTAGCTTCCTGTTTCCAGCAGTATCTTGACACCTCTGCTACCTGATTATTATCTAGTCAGTGGTGTTCATTGAAAAGCCATATGTGCCATGCTTGGTCTTGCTGAATTTACTTTTAATGAAAATGTGTGAGACAGTTTTCACTTTTCAGAGCCTCCTGCATACAATCTCAGAAGCACAAATCATGTTCTGATGAGTTGAGGGGTAATGATCAAGCATCATGTCACTGTGTTCTAAGAGACACAATTATGGCTGTACGGACTCTATAATGTACCTGGGCTTAATTTATATTTCAAACTTAAATTTTTCCCTCTGAGATTTATACACCCATACTACAATAATAAAACACTGTAGTTGATGCTAAAAAAAGTTGTTGCAGCAATGCATAAACACTGTACTTTTATTAAATGTTTATAGGTAATACATGGTCTAAAATGTGTTACAAGGATATCATATAATATAATCTGTTTACGTTTTTCCTCTGAATAGTTAGTTATTGGAATTTTAGTTAGTTATTGGAATAGTTATTGTTCCTTGGTTGTGTGCTTTTGCTTCCTTAGTTATTACTGTTTAGATAAATATGTATTTTTCACTTCTAAGTGTGTCATGAGAGAATATATTACTCGCTTTTATTTTTGTGTCTGGATTAGTGATCATAACGGTACGTCAGTCAAATTATAAAAGTATTTCCCTTTAAAAATATGTAACAGTTTTGCATTTTGTTGCCTCATCCTTTTGTGTATTTGAAGTGAAATAACTTCAAATGTAGCTGATATACTAAATGCTTTTGTTTATATTTACAAGCTTTGTTTGATTCTTTCTATGCCAAGGTATATGTAGTCTTTGCAGATTTGCAGTAAAATAATTACAATTTTTTTAACCTTGTGCACACATTAGTTGAAGGCACTATATAAATATTTAAAGCAGCTAGAAAATATATTGCTTTTGAGAAATCATATGCCTGTTGAAGAACAGAGTAAAAGCTGCATCAGTCTTTAACCCTCTTACCTATATATTTGGTAACTGTGCATGATTTTCCCACTTTTGTGGGAAAGTAATAGAAAAGTTTGTGTCTTATTAAGAGAAGCCTTTAAACATGAAGAAAACCTATGGTTTGCCCATAGTGTTCATTTATTAATGGAGTTTTTTAAAGGGCATCTTGTGGTGGTACTCTGACAAGACTTTGCTACAGTTATAACTATCTGTTTTAATGGTGGTAGGAAAAAAAGTCTGTTTTTCCACCAGTTTACATCAATTCAACAGGTGATATGAATTTCTTAGTGAAGAAGTTTGTCAGTATAACTAAATCCATGCCAGGGTTTTAAGTTGTGGTAATTCATACCTCATCTCAATGTAGCTAGGCTGCAAAATTAATGAGAAAGCATTTGACTTAATTATGTCAGTTTTCCTACTTCTGAACTCTTCAAGATTTTCATGCCTTCAGCATATATACTCATGAAATAAACTTTCTTGGTGTGTTCACCTGAAAAGTTTCTCTTATCTATGCTTTAAAATGCCTGATACAGATCTATTGCATCTCTAAAATTTGTGTAAACTGAGAATTTTTTTTTTTTTGCATTGGTCAGATGCGTTGCTCTAGAATAAGACGCATTTCCATGCCAAATGGAAAGTTTAAGTTTTCTTGGAGTAGAAGAATGAATCTTGTTTCATTCTGTGTGGTAGTAGTGAAATTCTGTCCCCAGCCAAACCCAGATTTTCATGAGCAATCTGGATGGAAGGGTATCTAGTCTGTTAAATGCATGTAATCTCAAAGTATAGTATTGGAGACTTCAAGATTATAAGCATTATAAATGTTAACATAGTCTTCTTTTTTCATTAGGGAAAAAACTCTCCAGCTAACAACAAATACCAGCCAACCACACAAATATTTTTAAGCTGATGACCAAACTCCTATTCAATTTTTTAAATTTTTTTTTATTATTATTATTTTTTTTTAATTTTTTTTTTTGTGGAAATCAAAAATTTAAAAATTGGTTCCAGCCTTCAGAAGCTGAGATACAAAAAAAGCAGGTGTGGTCTGCCTGTCTACCGGTGGGAGGTTGTAATAACAAAGGAGGAGTAGAGGATATTTTGGTTAGCAATTAACCCAATCCATGTAAAGGGGTTTTACAGCTTTATTGACTACAGAACTTAAATGGTTTAACTTCAGAGACAGCTTTTCTTTTTCATATTTCCATCTTACAAGTCTGTTTGGATATTCCTGTTGACCATAACTCATGTTCAGATGTAACACTTAACTGGATTCAGTAATACACAGTAGCAGAGTTGTATTCACAATTATGCTAATGCTTAGCTGATTCTGCCCTTATAGGGGCTCAATAACATATTGAAGTTTGTATCTATGGGTTGGTGTTTCAAGTACTGTCATATTCCACTTAGGTGAAAATAGCAATAATAGCACCAAGAACATTCCTTTTGATTTTAGTTTTAAAGGCATAATAAAAGAGAAATTGCCCCTTTTTCAGTAGACCAGCAGCCTAGCTGAGTATTAAACCTCTTTTTCTAATGGTCTACCATTAAATTTAAAAAAAGTATTTTAAAAGTCAGCATTGAAATTTAAAATTTTATGTATCACATAATTTTGGTAGTACAGTAAGTAGTACAAGGGAAGTGTGAGTTTGTGTAGCTTTCTTTTCTGTCTGATAATGTAATATTTTATTGTTTCTATATGCAGATACAGTCAGCTCACTGTGCAACAGATGAGCCCTAGCTAATGCTCTTGCAATACCTTTTAGCTATAGTAATTTAAGGTAAATACTGTTTCGTTTAGCCTGTGATGGAGAAGGCTTAAGATGACTTCTATTTGGTTTGATAATAGAAGTACATAGACAGCATTACCATAGCTAAGACTCTTCACAGTACTTTGAAACACAATAGCCTGCTCACATGTTTGTATGCTAGACTTAATTGGGTATGTTTTGGTACTAAAAAGGTCCTGTAAATCTAAATTCAAAACTTGCTAGAGGTAAATGCATTTTAAGGAACAGAAATCTAATTTGGGACCTGAGTGATCCTGGAAAAATAGAGTTGCAGATCTTCAGTAGAAGAAAACTTTGCAATTGTATAGTTTGATTTGTCAGCTTATCTAGACTTAAACACTAAGTGAAAGTCTTTACAGTTTAACTGTTTATAGGTAATTTCTTGTTTAAATTTATTCCTGTATGATAGCTATGGAGCATCTTACATTAGAGGTCAGTTTAATCCTGAATTAGAAAAAGGAAGTGTGATGTTGCCCACTGTCTTTGGTACAGGAGGAACTAGGGGCAAAGACACTGTTACAGCAAATAGTAGAAAGAAGAAAAGAGAGTTCCTGAACACATTCCCAAGATTCTTGTTGAATGAATGAGAACCAAGTAATTAAACTGACTTGAGGAGTACTTTCTAGTGTGGGCTAGTGAAGTTAATCATTAGAAGTGTTCTCATGTGAAGATGCTACTTAGGAAGAACTAGTTTTTGGAGTGGCTTTCTTTTGTTTCAAGTGTAATGTTTTTCAGACTTTGGGGGTTCCTCTTTGCTAATAATTCTGCCAACCAGTAGGCTCTTATCATTAATTGCTGGCAGCAGCTTGATTCTGCGGGGCAAGGGTTATAATTATTAGCTATGGTTGAAAATGCTTACCCTTCTCACCCTAGGGGAAGCTAAGCTGTTGCTAGCAATTAAAGGTAGTTAGCTGTTTCCTACCTCATGTAAACATTTGCAGCCAGTAATTACTACATCTGAACATTTTTTTACCTCATAGGCTGTAGAGAAGACAAAAAAATAATTGTTTTTGTAAACACCCAAGAGAAATTGTCTCCAAGCATAGAATTTTGGTTTATTAGTCCAGTCTGTCATGCCATCTATGTTTTAGGTAGATATATTTACATACATATATAGGTTCAGAAATGATCAGTGGTTGATGAATTCTTGCTCATTTTAAGATGAACTGTTTGTGTTGCTTTATTTCCTGCTCTGTGTAGAGGTCAGGGATATAGCAAAGTTGATACACTTTTTCAAATTTCTCAATTTATTTGCTTCCTTTCTATTGAAACTCTCCTCTTGGCAGATACTGTTTTCTGATATCCTTTAAATTCAGATTGCATTTCTAATCAGATCCAAGTTTGCTCATTGAGAACAAGTGTTATTTAGAAAGACTTTGGTGCACATAGACTAAAATTTATTTCCAAATGTTAATATGGTATATTCCATCTTCTAATATCTGTCTAAATAATGAAATTTTGACCTAGTAATTCCCTAATGTTTTATGATAAATAAAGGAAAAAGTTGGGTTTTTTTTTTTAAAACTCATCCAGTGCTTAATTTAATTTTTTAATACAATTAAGTAAAGAACTACTGGAACATGAATTCATATTGTGTCTGTATTGTCTTTCATGAAACTTAGAATACAGTTTCATCCTATTGTCTGGAATCTGAATCCTGTTGTGGCCAAAATGGCCACCTTCCAGACTGGTTTATTTTCTCACTTGTTATGGTTTTCCTTTTGAGAATATTTGTAGGCAACCAGTTGTTATGGAAGATTAGAAGAGCCCTTTGTGAATGGAAGTATGTTTGGGCAACAGCTTGCAGTCCAGTAGTCTGAGGCAGACTGTGCCACTGCACTTGGTAGAGCATGGAGAAAGAGAGAGAGAGACAGGAAAGCTTCTAGGGAAACTGTTACTCTTCATTGTTATTTCCAATAGTCAGCCTAAGAAAAATACATACTGTACTGAAACCCTGCCCTGAAGTCCAGTCTTGCTTGAATGTCCAGCTTCTCAGCTCTAGTGGCTTTGTAGGTTAGGATTTTTGTAGTCTTTCTGATTTATTAAGTTACCCAATAATTGAGTTTTTCTCCAAATAAGCAACCAATATTTAGATGGACCATGATCAGGTGCTACCCATCACATTTTTCTAATTTTCAGTCTTGTTTATTGTTACTAAATTTGGTTAACTCCTCCATGGAATTTATTGTCTTTGGTAGCTCATAGTCCATGTTGGTATCTTTGGGGGTTTTTTGTTTTTTTGTTTGTGGGTTTTGCAGGTTTTTTGGAGGGGTTGGTTTGTTTGGGTTATTTGGGCAAATGAGGTACTGTTGACTCTACTGAATTCTAATTCTTTCCAAACCCTTCAGCCTGAAAGGTTCCAGGGAAGTAGAGGAGAGAATCTATTCAGGTTTTGTTTTTGCAGCCTTTTTATGGTAGTTTTGTCCTGTGTCTTACAAATTTTCTGTGTGAGTGGGATATCTTCTTCAGTTAGATTCTTGCCTTGTTTCCTGAGGAATTATTTATAAAGTGTGCATGAAGGTAGATGTTGCTAAGATTTCTAAGGTGCTAGGTGAAGTAGATACCTGAATAAAGGTAAGTTAAGCTTTGATTGCTTGGAGTGATCTATATCCAGATGGTAGTTGCACTGTTGCATAAAAATGCCCAAACAAAACCCCACAGCAAAAGAAAACCAGCCAACCCCTGCAATTTGATCCAGTTGTTGATATAATTGGCATAAAAGGCCCTGGTGTAATTATGCATGGATGCTAAAATATTTCTTCTGATGATATTTACTATCTAGGTAGATACACATAGGTTTGAAAACACAGGGAAATCTGGAAAATTTCTGTACTTTACTTGTTTGAAAGTATTTAACAGATTTTCTTTTTTACAGTGTGCCTTTTCAGTTTAATGTTCATATCATTCTTTATTGTAGAGATCATTGCCAATGTAATAGAAATATCACTGTTAATGAGGTGCAAGTAATTCCTGCATGTGAACTTCCTCAAATATGTTCTGTTTTCTCAATTTTATGACAGTTCCCCATGCATGTGTTATGTCTGTTTTCACTTAAGACAGTAGCTGAAATTATTTTTTAAAATACTAACCTGAGCAGAAATGTCTTTCTCAGAGTTCTGTTGCAATTGGCTGCTCAGTTCTGCCTGATTTTTAAAAGCAAATTTTCAGGAGATGAGTCATGGCAAATTTGAATTTAAAATTTGTTTGGTAGAAATTTCAGGGGAGGTGTTCATTTATTATGATGTGATTGAAGGTATTTATTTTGAAAATATGGGGTTTTTAAAAATTTCTTATTTGGATAGAATTTCCAAATTTATGTGCATATTTCAGTGGCTGACTTGTGATGGATGGCTTTGCTTACAAGTAGCTAGTAGTCCCTGAAGTTTTTTCTTTTCAATTTTTTTGAAGCATTGTTTATTATAACCAAATAGTCAGGATTGAAAGGAAACAGTCTCAGTTAAATTTTACTTGCAAATTGTTTCCTATTCCACCAATCCAGAATGATATCACAGTGTATTTTAGTGTAGCTTTAGATGAGGGTTGTTAGGAGTGGCCTGGTTTCTCTCCTTCTTTTTCATAGCCCAGGAAGTATCGACTGGGGATGCTGGATGAGAGGATAGTTCCGGTGGGATCAAAAGCAAGAAAATCAAAGAACCCTATTGGCTGTCTGGCTGACAGGTCTAAAACAGGAGTACCCGTCAATATGGTTTGGTGGAACAGAGTCACAGAAAACAATTTACAGGTAAAATTATTTTTTACTAGTAATTTTTCAGTACTTTGGATGTTTTATTTTCAGTTCTGGAAAATGTTAGAAAGAGTTACTCCAAGTATGAATTAAGATCACATATTTATTTTGCATAATAGGCATAGTGGTCCTCTGAGAGAGTGATTGGAAGATATTTAATTATCTTCACCCATTGCTGAGCTGTATACTTTCCTTGATTTTTTTTATATAATCTGAGGAGAAGGAGCAAAAGTAATCATTTAATGTATTCTTAAAAAGAACCCACAACCTTTAATTCTCATCTGAGGACAATTTTTACTGGTAAAATTAGTGATTGTTGTTAAAATGATTGACACAATGCAAATAGATGCCCTCAGTACAGAATTTGAAGACATTGCCATGATGATCAGGAAGTACAAATTCTTAATTTTTATGTTGGGTTAGTTTATATTTCTCAACTTGTTTGAGAAATATATGCAACTCTTACCATTATTTTACTTCATTCCTGAATCATCTTCAGCTCTGTAAGAGAGGGGTGGTACAGCTGGATTTGAATGTCTTTATCGAAATAGCAAATAATCTTTGGGATGAAAATGAAGAATAATTCTAGCCTAGGATGAATCTTCATCCTAGTGGAGTTTAGACAGAAATTATTACAGTGGTAGAAGCTGCACCACTGCTCCTAATAGTATTTTCACTTATGTAGTGCTTTTGATTCCTCAGAGATTGTTATTTTAGTCTTCCTATGAGGGTTATGTTATTTTTGGTGTTTTCTAAGTGAATGAAGTGGGTAAATTGATAACAGACTTACAATTAGAACTTGTGGCACTTTAGGATTTTCTTTCAGTTCACTGAATTTCTGCCGTGTATAAGCCAACATGATGCTTGTACAAGCTCCTTTCCACACTGATATTAGTCTTGCATTATTTGATGTTTGAACATCTCTGTTACTGAAATGAACAGTCATGGGCAGCATGATGCTATGTTGCTTAGGGACAATTTGACTTTCAGTCTGTCTTGGCCCTTTTGCTGCTGGAGAAGCAGCATAGCCACCGATGGAGAAAACTTGAAGCTTAAAGGCAACATTGGTAGAAGGACCAGGTAAGCTTGAAGGACAGTGGCAAGAGCCTATGAAGCAGTACTGTTTTGAAGGGAGAGAAGATTGACAAACTGAATTTATCATGTGTATCTAACAGTGAATGTAAGCCATAGTTAAAGACAATTGTTCTGAGAAGAATCAGAAAATTGGTCTTCAGTTTCCAGGTGGACATTAAAGGGCAAAAATAGTCCTGTTTGCACTCCTATTCCTCTGTTTTCTTGCTATACAGTGATGCAACAAGCTTTTTTGTTAATCTGCTTCATTTAGATTATAAGCAAAAGAACTTAATGATTTGGAGGATGGAGAGGCAGTAGCCTGAAATTTGTAGCTTCTCACCAGAAGCAGTTTTCTTCTCAGTACCTGTGCACTCTGAAAGTACTTCAAAGTGTGGCAAAGGGAAGAAAGCTCAAGGTCCCCATGCTTTCTGAGGTTGGCAGCGTTTGGGACTGGCTGTAGAGTACATAGCTTTTGAAGGGTGCAATTCCAGGCTCTTTATTGCACCAGAATCCCGGCTACATAATTGATTTAAAGTATCTGTGGCTTAAAATTTTGTATTACCATGATACAGTTGCATCGTTTCCCATGGAGAGGTGGGCTTTAACAAAGCCTGTATATGCACATGTGGTGGAAATATGAACAGAAGGATGTGCCAGCCATAATAGAGTTGGAGGAGAAACAGGAGGGACTGAAGAGAAATTGTGGAGTCTGGCAAGACTGAAGAAGGAAAGGTGTTGAAACTTGCACTGTAGAATAATTTAACTTTTACTCCTGCATTGCTATGAATTTATAATCCACATCTGTTTTGTTTAAATATGGTGTTACGCTTACATGGTTAAAAGTGAAGTCTGCAGAGTGAATTGTGCTCTGGGTTGTGCATTAAAAAAAACCCAAATCAAAGTTTGCTTTATAATGGTGTATCCTGCCTTATATTAGGAAATGTCCTGAGCTACTATACTACCACATGATATAGAATATAATAGCAAATGATAATCCTCCTTAAAATAGTAGGGTTAGATATATTTTAGTTATACAGATTAGTTTTATTCACCATCAATAACCGATTATTTGTTTCTTGAGCAAAAAATAATCATAGAAATTATTTTTTTCAAGTATGTTGCATTAGGCACATAGACCTCTAAAATTTTAGATGTTTTTACAGTACTTTGAAGGATTTTTGTTAAAGAAATGTGAAAATATTCCAAATCTAATTTTAAAGTTAACTTTTTAGTGAGATCTACTTGCCAGTTGTGACAAGATTTCACTAATAGTTTTGTCTGAGCCTGTGTTCTGATTGACATGTTCTGGTTTATAATCTTTAGCCAACAAATTTTACCCAGTTTTAATGACATTGACTCTTAATTCTTCTGGAAGAGCAGTAGAGTACCATAACTAATAATGTTGGCAAATTGAAATTTACTAGAGATGTTGTTGGAGTGATGTGATGACTTGTCACAGTAATTATAATAACGTATGTAGCATGTTACACAAATTCAGTGGTGGGATAGAAGGAGATGTGCTTTGAAGTCCTTGGTGACCTCCCATGTCTTCTGGATTGCTCTGACATCACAAAATGCATCCTTTCCTGATGTCATGGCTCATGAGGAATCCTTAGAGGAATTGTAGCAATGCTCTGTAAAGTGAATCTCCTCATATATAACCTGCCCATTAAAAAAACAACAGACCCCAAACCCCAACAACAACGAAATAACATATTGTGATCAAGAAAGACTTCTGCATATTTCTGTATTCCTAAGAGAGATATTATGAAAACTATGAGAAAAATAGACTGGTAAAGGAGTGCTGTTTATAGCATGGATGTGGGTTAATGGTGGTTTTCTGTAACCATTACACGATTATGTAATTTGGGATGTCAGAACAGATCAGCATGAATTTGGAAGTGAAGGAGGACATAAAAAGAGAACTTGTAGTGGCTTGTATCCAGTTTCTAGCATGGTAAGTACATTAGCACATCCTTCTGAAATCAAATGAGATTGGCCTACTTTTTGAGTTGAGTAGCTGGCTTTGGGCTTTGGTTCAATGTGGAACCAGAACCAAGCTGATGAAGTCCTATTACAGCCTCTGAAGTTGATGTAGTGTCACTGCTGCTGTAGGGCTGTGTTGAAAGATGCTGAATGAGAAATGAGAGAAGGACGGTTTCCAATATTCTTGTGGGATCCCTGTGTGGCTTTCCAAAGGCTTCATAACTTGTACGTCCCTGTATCCAGCTCACTTCTGTACTTAAAGGCACTTTAAGTAAATGAGGATTCATTTATTAATTAGTGCAGCAGTGGGGCCTTACAGGTTTATCACTGAGGAGCATAAAGACAAATCATATGTATCAAAGTTTATAGTTGATGAAACAGAATTTTGATTTTATTTCTGGATTACAGAAGTCTGTTATATGTAACTCCTTAACCTACAGTAATACCACATGCTGCCATGTAGTCCTTCCAGTGATGGTCTTCAGCTTAGATCCTTGGCTTGCTCTTTGCTTTGCATCTGTACCTTCTTTTAAGGAGCCTTGGATTGTTTTGGGGTGTTTTTTAGTGGTACTCAGAGAATATTGTTTCTTCCCCTCCATGCTATATTTTATTTTTTTCTTTTAATACCTGTAAAAGCATAAAAGCCATCAGACAAATTCTGAGCTGAATGGTGACACAAATGAGTTGTTTAATAGCCCTGGCCTCCTTTTGTACTTTTTTTGGTTCCATCCTTAGTAATTGCATCATGACTAATATCAGCCTTCATTTGGATTGTATTTTATGTGTTTTATAAAGTTTTTTTCACTCTGATGTACAGAAGTGGAGGAATTGTTTTTGTAGGTGGAGCTGGATGGACTCAGTTTTGTGGTCTGTCTTTGGAAGTTTCTTTGCAAAGCTGACTGAAGAGAGATGTAAAGAATCTGAAAATGTTATTTAGATTAAATTTCTTCATGCAATCGTTCTGAGAATGCATGATATAGGTATTTGGGTAATAATTAGGGAAGTTGCTTCACTGCTTTAGTTTGACAGCATCTTTATTAATAGACTGGAAGAAGGAGGATGAGATTTCACTTGGCAAGGTTGAGAGGAAAAGGGAATGATGGCAATTTTAGCAAAGGTATCAGTTAGAAGTCACCTTAGGTGGTTTGCTAGAAATACATAACATAGCTGCCAGCTGTACTTCCTTCTCTTTAGTGCTTTTTGTTGAAAACATGTTCATTAGCATTTTGAAATTTTGTATGTGCCTTTTTATGGGACATTTGCATTTGAAACTGAAAATAGGCTTATTTAACACAGTGCAGACCGTGCTAGTAGGTTTTGAAAAAATTGTTTTGAGTTTAGAAGTACATTTGCTACTTTTTAACATCACAGTTTGGCATAATCATTGCATGGTTCTTGCATGTCTATTCTTCTTGTTACTCTTGAAAATGAATAACAGTTTTAAATACCCATTTTTCTCTACATATTTTACCAATCCTGATTTATTCTGACTTAATTACTAATTGACACTTGTTTAAAAGCTGTACTTGTTCAAAATTTAAACATAATATAGAATGAAGAAAATCTTTTCACTTTAGAAGATCTAGATTATTTTCATTCTTATAAAAGTTTAATTTTTTTATGTCGCCTTCTGAAGTTTGGTAATACTCTAATGGAAAAACTGTAAGAATACTCTGTCAGGTTCTAAAACATGGTTACTATTTCAACAGATTTTCAGGCTTACCATTGATCCAAATATAAAGCTAAAACTGGAATTTATACTTTGTATTATGAGGTGACAGAGTGTAGGATATTTTTTCAGGCCAAGAATATAATATTTTGAATTGTTGGCCATTAAGAATGTGGCTTTCTAATTTTGACATAATCACATGGTCATTGTTGCGAAATGGTTAATTACTAAGATTCAAGAGTAAAAAAAATATTAAATATTAAAGAGCTAATAGTAGTATTGCATTCCCATGCTTAATCAATCTAATTATTTTTATTATTTTCATAGAAGAAAACTGTTTTCAGAAAAATTTACATTTTACTTCAGATAAAATGTTTTCAAAAGCATAAGTTTAAGAGCTGCAGCTTCACATAGATGTAATGAATTTAAATGTGGATTGGGGTTTAAACTTCAAATTGTCTGACAGTATTTGCTAGCTTTGACCACTAATCACTAGAATTTGCTGTATCTCTTTAATTAGTTTACTCTGGCTAGTGACTGTGGAACTTGAGTGTTTTCCTGTATTTAGAAAACAACTTGAAGATGGAAGGGTCCTTGAAAATTGTAACCAAAGTTAAATCACTTTTTTTGCCAGTGGGGAGAGACTTGGATTGCAGCTTCATGTTTATAGCATCACAGAGAAGTAAAACAGACTCTCATAGAATAGGGTCTATCTTCATAAATCAAAGCTGTTTACTCATATGCAACATTTTTATCAAAGTTATGTTAAAAACAGCTTAATCTTACCAGGCTTTGATGCTCATCCTGAATTATGATATCAAAAAATGGAATGAAACTGAATTTCCATCAGACTTGACCCATTGTGGTTTGGAATTCCACAGCATAAACCAGATCAGTCCTAGCAGATTCCTGGGTTTGACTCTTTCACTTGGATAATTAAAACACCTACCAGTTAAAGTGGAGCTCTTTTTAAAGTGAAGCTGCATTTAAAATTTTTGATGGCTATAGGTAACTTTCAGTAAGTAACATTTTAGTAAGTAAGTAACTTTTAGACATGAAAACTGGTCTATGGAAATTTGCAGAATGCATTTAGAAATAAGAAGCATCTCTCTGCTGTAGGAGTTGTTTGAATCAGTAGGTGAAAATAAAGAGTTTAGCCAGAATGCCATGGATGAGATTTTGGGAACTCTCTCAGTTGCTCTAGGAAAGTCTGAGGAACCTTCCAGAAGGTGTCCTTTTCTCTGCTTGCATGCTTCAAACCTAATGTCATGCCCTGCCCTTGTGGCCTGGTTGACACAGATTTAGACGTGATAGAGCTGTGGATATGTTATTGCTGCCTTTAGCAGTGGAAAAATGTGGATCTTGTAGCTCTTTGGAATTATGTTCTTTTAGCAAGATGATAATACAAATTCTGTTCCTTGCTCTCCCAGTTGTTTTGTTTGGTGAATGTTTTGCTCTATCACTGTTTGGAAAAGTTCTACTTGACTCTTCACCACTTCTGTAATTTTCTCCAGTTTCAGTGCAGATTTCACTGAATGGTTGCATGCCAGTTTTTGTCTAGAGGAGCACCATTCTATTAGTTATTCCTGTACCTAAATTCAGATAAGTCCAGAATATTACCTTTTGAGTATAAATGTGTCAGTTATGTGTTTTCAGTCTGTATAATTCCACTTACCATTTGTTTTGCTATATTAGTGTATATCTTAACATGTTTTCCTCAACTGTGATTAAAGAGTTTTAAAATTCATGTGTACTCTTTACCCATTTAAATGTTTTACTTCACAATTTACATATTTACTTACAGTTGTTCCTTGAATATTCAGAAACATGCACATGTAAGGTGGCAAATCAGGAGGTAAAGTTGATACCAAGTGGATGATGGTTAAAATTGACTGTGTGATTAAAAGTAGAATATTTTTGATATTTGCTTTTAATCCCAAGCATCATCTTTAATTTTACAACTTTGAGAATCTTCTTTTTCAGTGCGTTGAAATACATTAATACTATGATATTTGGCAGAAATATTCAAATAAAGGTATTAAAACCCAATTAACAGAAACTCTTCGCAAATACATTCTTCATTGTCTAAATTGATGTTTGCATTTCACTTCTAATTTGGCACTAACTTACTTTCTCTGATGCCACTTTATATTGGTAAAATCAATATTGGTAATTTAACTAACAGTTGATATATTTAGTTGTTTTAAAACTGCCTGATACCAAAGCAGTATCGTAACAATCTCCCTTGTCTATTGGGAGCTGTTGTTGTCTTCTTTTTTTACCTAACTTGTTTAGACACTTTTGAGAGGTACTCTGCAGATTACTTAATGAACTAAATCCTGCAATTTAATAATCTTCAAGCTTTTCAGAATGTTCATGTAATAATTGATTTTATTTCTTGGCTTAATGTGGTTTTTGTTCCACTCCTGTCATTTGTAATTGGCTGTCCAGTGATAAGCTTTTTGCCTTTTGAGCTCTAACTGGGCTTTTCTTTTTCTAACCCTCCTTACCCCAAATCAAAGAAAAACCTCACCTCAAAACAAACACCACAATCCCAAACTACAAAACCAACCGTCTGCACTGATTTTAATAGAAATTAAAAATTGCTTCTGTGTTTGTTTTATGTACTAACAAATACTGGATGTTTGACCATCATTCTGCTTCTATTTATTTCCATGGCACCAAATTAGACTTTATTATTAAGGGTGCTAAATAAATGTAACAGGTTATTAAAGCAGAAGTTAACTTCACAAAGAGAGTGAAACATACAGATCTATTTGAAATAGAGGCAGGGGTGACTTTTCTAGTAGGAATAATTTTTGCTCCTTTAAATTGAAATTGCTAGTTAGCTTGAGATTAAATTGCTGAAGTGATGGGGGAACAGCCTGTGCAGCTGTCACAAAGCTTTCTCACTGTCAAGTCTGTTCTCCAACTTGCAATGCTTATGGAAAGCCTTTTGCAAAATGTTGTATGAATTTGTAGACCAGCTGCTTATATGGAAAGTTTGCTTATACCACTTCAGACATGCTTAAAACATGTCTAAATTTGCTCATGCAGACCAGCTTTGAGTATTCTTTGTTCTCATGAGCAAGCTGTAGGTACCTTAAAATACCCCTTGTACTAGTAGGGCTTTCTAGCAAGTATTTTCTACCAAATAGGTACTATCCATCCCTTCTCATTTAAAATAAACATTTAATTTATTATTTTTTTAAACAGACACCAAATCCTTCTGCAAGTGAGTTTATTCCTAAAGGAGGATCAACCTCCAGGCTGAGTAATGTATCCCAGTCAAGTATGTCTGCCTTCTCTCAAGCCTTGTTCTCTCACCCCTCCATGGGAAGTCCTGCTACTGCTGGCTTAGCACCAGGTAAGTTGAGAGTAATGATTTCTAGTACAGTGGTTTGTTTTGTCAAATGTAACCCTATATATATAGTTACCAGATTTATCTGGTATAAATGTAGCTACCTCCTACTTTAGCTCTTAATTTTAAGGCAGTCTTTAAAAAGCAGAGGAACTTCAGATTTATATTCCAGTAGTATGGAAATTACACTGCAGGCTGTGAAATCTGCGCAGCCACAGCAGCATTGAAATTAGCAACTTACTCTGCTCTTTCTGGGGTAAAGGGTTGCTGAATTATCACATACTGTGTCCTAAATGGTTCTTGCCAGAGCAGTACCTGAAGATGATTTAAACTACCCAGAAACGTGTTGTAGTCTACAATGCACATGATCTTGACTTTACTACATACCAATGTACTCTTTTTATTTATAAAACAGAAAGTAGAAGACAAGCTAATTCTATAATACTGTGCCTTGCCAAAGTAGTGATAATTTTTATTGTATCTGTCACATGTGATCTCACTTTTAAGACCAATTTATAGTTATTTCCCAGGTATAAAACTCTTACTGAAATGTGTTCCATGCAGTCATGTAATTGAGTGACAGATTTTTTTACAAATTAAAAAGTTCAAGCCCTTTATCAATCTTTTAGCCTTCTGATCTTAAGATGTTAATTTAATTCTAATAATTTTGTTTAAATAAAATTAAAGTATTTTTAATGTATAGCCATCAGCAAATCTGGATATTCACACTACAGATTCTTTAAAGAGTTTCTGTATGTACTTAAACCTTTAGCAGTCTCTTGGGGCTACCGAGAAGCATTACGTAATTGCCAAAAGGCGGATGGACAAATGTTTATAAAATAATCATTTATAACATCTATTGGCAATTACCACTTATTAAAATGAACTTCAGTCTTTCTTGATGCCAGTGTCAATGTGAAAGAAGTCAGTATTTAGCTTGTTTGTAAAAACATACCAGAGCAGGCTAGGAAAGTGATTGATACTTCTGCTGACCAAATGAACATGTTGTGGTACTGTGTCTGCTTGATCCTATATTGTGCTGTACGGTCTTATTGGAAAACTGTTGTGTTTATATGCCTCTCAGCCTTGTCACCTGGATTGAAAAGTGTGTAAAGGATTAAATAGAATACAGTAAAATGATCTACTTTTGGAAAGTGTCCAGTGGGGTCTCAGAGGGATCCTTCACAGTCCAATTTCTTTACTATCTGTAAGTAATACTTGAAAGGATAAGTAACACTGATGAAAGAAATTCGCACAACAATTTCAGCTCCTAGAAATAAATATAGATACCAATGCTTCAAACTTTCTAGCCTCACATACTATTGTTTGTTTATGGACAAGAGGGATGGGGGAGTATTCATAAGAGCTAACTTGAGGCAGAGTTGGCTTGTTTCCCTATTCTTCCCATATAGCTAAAATGAAAATGCTGTTCAGAGTAGGGATCTCGGTTGGGTGCTCTGAATTCTTCTAGAAGCTTTTCTTCTCTCAGTGTAAAAAATCTCTGAACCTAAGTGTGCTATGTAAATACTGCTCACAGACATTTATTATTTAAGTGTCGACATTAAAGCTGTCAACAGGGTCCATCCACGGAAGTTCCTGTTACCTCAGGGTCAGCTAGGAGGTGCTCTTTCGAAAACATTGGGCTCTTAAATAAGAAAGCATTACCTTTGTGTGGGGAAACTTCACCACTTAGATCATACTGGATAACATCATACTCTTCATACTAGATAACAGAATAAAAAAATATTGAAATACATTCCAAAGTTGTCATGAAAAAATGGTTGAGATCTGTTAGCTTTCAACAAGTGAAAACAAATGAAACCCATATAAAGAACTAGAAGAATTTTCCTTTGAATAAAGATAAGCCTCCTTCTAGTTAAAGGGTGCATACTCTCCAGTAGAAGAATTTTGCAGATTTAAGTGTTTATGTGAGATTAAGATTGCCTATTGTAATTTACAGGGTACTGGAGGAAATCAAAATTTCATGAGAAATGAGGAAATGTAGTAGGAATATTTAAGACTTTCATAGTTTTATTCACCTGTAACAAAGTATGTAAATAATGAAAATAGTCCTTTGATTTCCTACTTGATGATGTAAAAATGTCAGTTCTTTCACATACCTAATTTCTGAGATTTCCCTAAAGGTAGGTGTAAATCAAAAACACTTTTGACATCTAGTATTTCTTGGCCTTGGAAAATATTTGTTCTGCTTGTCTTGTCAACAATACTGCAGAAAAATATGACAGGGGAAACCTGAAATACTTTAGTGGATAACTTGTTGGATTCATGCCTGATGTATTGATTAAGATGTAGGATGGAAGAAGGTTATTCCTACATTCACATGTTTACTTATGTAAGTGCTTTCTAGGGTAATCTCAACAGAGAGTCATGTTCATTTTGGTGGCCTTTAATAGAATATGGAAATAGAGTGATATAAAATGCAACTTACACAAGTGGTGGGAGAAAATTGTTTCACTGAAGAGGTGTAAACAGATCTCATTTACCATTTCCAAAGTCTTTTTCCATAAACTCACCAGAATGCTACTTGCTCCTCCCTTTCTTTGCTAGCAAACAACGTTTGTCATTTGTGTTGGAAATTTAGTAAGAAGTCGACAGTCTTCAAATATTACTTTGCTAACAAGCTTATCTTACCCAGTCCTGTGCAGCTGTATTGTTGTCATTAAAATATGCAACACAGTGTATGAAGGAAATTCATGAATGTCATTGAAGTGATAAGACGTCATTGTTGTGTTGAATGTGAGAGAGAAAAGATGTATAGTCCCCAGTAGGGAAAAATGCCTAGGTTATACCTGAAGAAGGATGCCTTTGTCACTGATGGAAGTGACAGCAAATTGCTGTTGCTTCTATATTTAGTCCAAGTCAGGTTCTGAGCTTATGCAGAATGTAGGAGATGCCATTTCTGCTGCCAGTCTGAACCTGCAGGCTTAGGAGCTAGAAGTGTGAAAGTGTTGTGTTTGTGTCCAGTTGACATAAGTCCATTTGATGATGATGAGCTGCAGGAGTGTAGCTCTCAGAGCCCACAGCCCCACCTGAAGATGGAGCACTTTCAGCTCGGGTGGTTTGTGTGGCTGAAGGCCACAAGCTTGTTCCAGCCTCCTGGATCAAATATGGTGCAGAGGAAGTTCTTCAGCTGTTCCAGAATAATGTAAGAACGGAAGAAGGCAAAGAGACTCTAAAATTCTTTTTTCCCCATATAAAACTGAAGAGGAAGAATTGATGATTCAAGATTGTTTAGGGAATGAAGCAGGTTTAATTAACTTGAAAATACACAGCTACAATGCTAATGACCCGACAGAAAGCTTACAATAAAAAGTAATAGTTAATGAATGTAAGGATGCTACTTTAAGTTCTTGAAATAATCTAGTATTATAATTTACTTTGCTTTGTCATTCTTTGAAATTTACCCATTAGTCTGGGGTATCTCTAAAGTACAGAACATTAAAGTGGTAAAATGTTAAATGTTAAATTTTTGACCTCTGAATGTGTTACACAAATTATAGGGATATGGCTTTAAATTAGTAAACTTGTAGGCAAAACTTAAGGGTTTTTTTTAAAACCTTTAATGTTGTAGGCCAGCTGATTTGCATATACCTGAGTTTAATGAAATCCTGCATAACTAAGTTGTGAATTCTCAATCAAAAAGTTGTAGATAATGAGTCATTAAGAGATCATGCTTTTAATGCCCTATGATCCTGATTATCTGTGTGAATGATCAGGTTTAAAATATAACCTAGCTTTTAATTCAAATACAATGTGTGCTACAAAGCTTTATTAGAAACATAGATCTCATAAAATGTCTCTGAGGATTGTGTCAAATGCATGTTAAAGTCTGCCATTTCCCTTTCCTCAGTCACAATGAAACTTCAAAAATAAAAAAAAGGCAAGAAATGAAAATATAAGAATAAAGAGGGATATGTAAGTATGATCTCTCCCTTTACAGAAGAATAGCATCAGGAGCTGCAGATATGTGTAGGTAGCCTGCACAGTCACTGTGAATGTTGGGAAAAGATCTCCAAGTCCCACAACCATTTCTATGTTGATGTAACACTGTGACAGCTGCATATCATGCCACCTCTTTTTAGATATAAAAGTGAAAGAAGCCCTTTCCCCTTGCAATTCATCCTTTAAGATTGTATTTGACTTCTTCATGAAGTGTATTAAGATTCCCCAAGACAAGGAATGGAGAGCCACCTTTGCTGATAGAAAAGTCTCAGGAGGGACAATTTGAAACAGGCTTTTTGATGTCTGTCATAGTATTCCTGTTGGCATTTGAATTTGAATTTTAATATAGAGAAATCTTGAAGTCTCTCATAGGGAAAGCTTAATGTTATTTGTCAAGATCACTGTTATGAGAGAGAGATATGTATATATGTGTGTATATATATGCATATATATATGTAAACCATAAGTAGATTTTTAAAACCCTTTTTTCTTAGGCCCTTAAGTGAATATAAATACAGGCATTTGTATAAACTGTGCTGTTAAAACCAGCCTAATTCTGTGACGTGTGGTTCTGTTGTTACTGTTGTATGTTTAGTAATATATTTTTCCTTGAGGAGGGTCAGTAGGAATATATAATCACTTTTTAATATAACTATTTTCCTTTATTTTCATCTAATTCTATTTGTCATGATTAAATATTATTTTACTTCTAACTGATTGAAATACTAATGAAATTGGTGATACCTGCTTGAGTTTGTGCACTCTGTTAGCTGGCTTAAGTACTTAAATATGCGTAAGTTTCATTGTATTAAGAGTTTCCCTTTTTTCAGTTGTTATACTGGGCTTTCACTAGTTATTTAGATTGTGCAGAATGTAATGCAAATCTCTCAGAAGAATCTGTCACCTTCAGTATTTGTTGTCTCAGCCTGTCCTTACCCACCACAGCACTAGGAACAAAATTCTTGTAGCATATGTAGTATATTGTTCTAGTAGAATAAAACCAAGCTCTAGTCAAGCTTCTTTGATCTCCTGAACTCACTATGCATACTGGCAAATGAGGAGGCCATATGTTCTGCCTGCCAGATGATTTTCACTGAACTCTCAATGTCCTTTCAAAATGAGACCTAGCTAGACTGGAAGGCCATCTGAAAGGATTTGTATAATACTGTGATCCTTTTTTTCAATATTGCTTTAATACTTTTGCAACAACATTAAGGATTTATGTGTGTAAGTATTCTTGGGCAAGAATAAATTTTTTTTAAAAACTAAATCTCAGAGTGGAAATTGTTTGAAATTGTATCTGTGAAGAACACTAGAGATCATTTTTTCTTCTGGGAAGCTTGTAGTAGTATAATTTTAGCAAATTGCAAGTCTTCACTTTTCTGTAAGATATTACTTACTGTCTTGTACATATACTGTTTATTTTAGAGCAGAGAGGTCTTCAGTTAATTTTCCATGAATATATATGAAGGCTGCTGAGTTTTCATTTCATGACCCCTACAGTTGGTTGTTTTATGAAGTTATTCTTGAAGCCAGTTATTCTTGTCTGGATTGAGATGATGTGCTTGCAAGGACTTCTGTTAATACTGCTTTATTGGAGCAGGGTGAAAAAGACATGTCAGTAACTTTCCATAGATGAAGAGAACTCTTAGATACCATAAACTGTGGAATTGCTTCAGTTTAATGGCCACTTTAATCATCCTCCAGCTTGTAATACTAATACATTGTTTCCTTTGAAATTGATCTTCTCCTCCAGTGGATTAATAATGCATTTGTATTTTTGTCTTTTGTTAAAAATGTAACAAATTATACAGTAGCTGTTTGTCTTGGTTTGAGAGACAGATGTCTGCCAAGAAAGGCAGGAGCTTCTTTTTAAAATGGAGAATGTAACCCCCCTCCCTCCAAATTATTATAATTTTGAAATAAGGGGACTCTCAGGCAAAGATATGGGAATAGGAATAACAGTTCTTTTCTAGGAAAATTAAAATAGAAATACAGTATTACAGAGAAAAAAACCCAAAAAACCACTGACAGTCAGAACAGAACCTGACACTCCATCAGTCAGGGTGTTGGTAGCAGTCCCATTAAATGGTGGCTGCAGCCCTCCTGGATGACAGATGTGGTTCAGTTGAAGCAGTGCTCCTGTAGAAGGGTGAAGTTTTCTTACAAAGGTCCAGTGATGATGTGGAAAGGTGCAGTTTTCTTCTGGAATCCAGTGGAAAAAGGCTGCCTTGGTGTTCCAAATCTCAGATTTTATCTAAGTAGGAGAGGCTTGGCTCCTCCCCCTGGCTGAAACATCTCCCAGTGGGATGATGTAATCTTATCAGTCGTGCAGTGGGACCCCATGGCCCATTAGCAGACAATATCTTCCTGGAGGAAGGATGAGTTGTGGAAAAGATAAGGATGACTGCCCCACCTGGTTTTAACAGATGGCCCATTAGCAGAGAATATCTCCACAGAAATAAGGATCACTGCTCCACCTGTTTTCAACAGATGGTGACAGAATACATACCCCTGGTCACATCCTGTATTGCAACCTGTTGAAATATTTCAGAATTGCTCAGTTGCTTAAGGTAACCATTCACCTTAATGGGAACTTACTTTCTTTTGTAGCATAAACTTGTGCTATCAAAATATGTAACATTTTACAGTCATACAGTTAATTTCCAAAAAGATTTTTAGGAGACTATTTATGCTACCATTTAGCAGTGCCTATTATAATTCACTTTAAGTTAGTACACTAATCAGCAATATTCTACAATATTGCATATCTACAAGATGTGTGTATGCACATGTACACGTATTAATATAAAGTTCTAGCCTAGAGAAGTACCAACTGTTTTCCTTTTATATTCTTATGTTTTGCATTTTTTATAAAAAGAATAAATGACTTAAAAGACACAATTAAGAAGAAAGGTGTATGATTTTACCACAGTTACATTTTAAAAATCTTGTTCATTTTGTTGGCACTATTCACTTTTGAGGAACAGAAGAGAATTGTGCTGAGTTAATAAACATGGTTTTTGAGACGTCAAAGGAGTAAATGAGAGGAGCTAAATGAAAGGTTACAGATATTCTGTTAATATCATTAGGATAATATAGCTTCAAAGTGAATTTTCCCAAGCTACTGCTTACTTGTTAATACTGAAAATTACTTGCTTTTTGTCTTTTGTTTTAAAAAAGAAAAAAATGAAATGTAGGAGGGATGAGATTACTTTAGGGACACAATATTAGTGTGAAATCACCCCTACACATTACTGATGATGCATTTTGATAACTCTGCATACAGCAACTCATGATTGAAGTTCAATCAGTTTATGTAACTAAAAAGTGTGTATGCAAAAAAAAATTCCTCCTGACTTCATTAGTTAGATATTTGGATATAGCTTTAATTACTCTGGTACTAGAGCTTACAGAATTAATTTAATCAAATATCTGAGTAATAACTAACAATTCTTAGAGAAGAATTCTCAGCTGTCAGTAGAATGCTAAATATGAAAGCTGTGTATCTTCTATCCTTTCAAGAAAATAATTTAGTGTGACTAATACAATTCTGTCTGTGTAGAAGAGAAAGTACATCCCAGTCTGAGCTGAGCAATAATAATTTTAAAAGATGTTTTCCTTGGTGTTAATCTGAACAACTGAATATGTCAGATCTTCTGCTAGTAAGTAACTCTGCAAGGAGTTTTTTTTTTTTTTTTTTTTGAAGGATTGTCTCTTCCTCAGCAGCACCCTGGAACGTCTAGTTTATAAATAAGTAAATCTGAGAATTCTGCACACAATAACTCTTGAAGTAATTAGACCAGTGTGTGCAAAAAAGTTGTCCTCTTTTTTCACATTGATGCACTTTGTTTAGAAGCAGAGTTTCTCAGGTGTCAGTGAAGTTGCCCCTATAATGTTAAAGGTGAACACCAGCTAATGAAATAATTTCAAATAAATTAGAAAATCCCAACAGGAATGTTTAATAGACTTCATATCATGAGATGTTACCTATATTTGCATATCAAATAGACCTTTTGGAGGATGAGTTCTGAATATAATAATTATAAAATAAAATAAGTAATAAGTAATAACTCCCCTGAAGTTATTAATAGTAGCATATTGTGTGTTATTAACACACTTATTTGTGTGCTGTATTACTGGAGACATTTATTGCTGTGGAATTCTAGTATATGGATAATTAGGTGTAGTGAGTTAGAGCTAAGCAAACTCCATTGACTGCTCATGTAACTGGTAAACATGTACTTACATAGTCACTAATATTTTATCTTTTTTGCAGTTTAAGGAACTGTCTTTTAGACACAGCATTATTTTGACTTGTCTTCCCCTTTCAGCTACTTTTATGTTTTTCATTTCAGTTCTTCATGTGTATTGTAAGTTCCCAAGCCCTATCTCTCTACACTAAGCCAAGATTTTGGGGAAAATGCATCTGTTCAGTCATGCTCTCACTGTTTTATCTCAAGGATTTGTATATCCATATGAGGGACTAAATGTCTCACCTGCTCAGAATATTGTTGCTAGTGAAGGCTGCTTTTCTGAAATTGCTAATTTTTTTTGATGACAGATTTGATCAAGAATATCTTCTTGTGTTTCTTTAAGGAATGTCACTGTCAGCAGGATCTTCTCCTCTTCATTCTCCCAAAATAACTCCTCATACATCTCCTGCTCCTCGAAGAAGAAGTCATACTCCTAACCCAGCAAACTATATGGTGCCTACTAGTGCCTCTGCGTCTGTCGCTAACGCTGTCTCTCAGCCTCCATCTACTGGCCAGGTGATCCAGAAGGAAACAGTGGGTGGAACAACATACTTCTACACTGATACAACTCCAGCACCTCTCACAGGAATGGTATGTTGGCTTTCAATACACAACTATCTGGAGTTTGTAAGTGCTGAATTGGTTGATACTACAGGTATTAGTTTTCATGCTATAAACTGCTTATTCTATATCAAGATTAGGCCTTTTAGTTACTTTAGTTGTTCTCCCAAAATCTCTGAAATAGAAGGACTAGAGAAATTTTTTATCTATTTTTTTCATGTACAGCTGTGTAGAGCTTTCTGGGGTTTTAACACAGCAATAGCAAGAAAGTATTCTATATGTGTCAGTGGATACACACATAATGAGAAAACATCAAGAAAGGAGATTTTTATTTTTGTAGGTTAAATAGCTCTTACATTTATAGTGATGGGGAAAAGGCAGTAACAATGTGTTAGAATAACTGTGTACATACATATATACACATACACCTCCCTCTCCCTTGCAATCATTAGAAGTGAATGCCACATAAAAAATTGTAACATCTGACAATGTATTTGTAACTCGTACTGTACACGAAGGTTGCATAGTGAGAAAACTCTTCATTTACCATATCCTTAAGGACTTAGTTTCTTGAAATATTTTATTTTTAGGTTTTTCCAAACTACCACATCTACCATCCAGCTGCACCGCATGTTGCTTACATGCAGCCAAAAGCAAATGCACCTTCCTTCTTCATGGCAGATGAGCTCAGACAGGTAAGGTGGTAGAGAGTTTAAAGGAAAATTGCATGTCTTGGTGAAAAATAGAAAATTGCTAATGGTGGAAGAGAAATAGACACTTGCAATCTGTGTAGTCAGTTTCCCCTTTGGAGAATTTGAAAAATCAAATATTGTTATAGGTGGGGTACAACAGAGGATGGGGGTGAGTTATAGCATATATGACTGCACTCTAATCTGCATGCCATGATTTACCATTCATATCAGTACTATTACTGATGTGGTTTTTTTTTGCTGTGCATGGGTTTATTTTTGTAGCATTATTTTAAGCTGCAATATTATTTAGTTTTAAAGTCTGCCACTGAAATGGAAGAGTATGCAGGTGTTAATTGAAGAGCTCTTCTCAGGGCTCATCATCTCAAGGCTGGCTGTGAATGTTATTAATTTCAGCTTTACTGTAGTAGGTACCTTTGTCAGTGCCAGCTATATCAAATGTCTTTAGAAGCTCGTTCAAGAATTTATATATTTGATCATTCAAATTTTCAAGCTAGTGGTCTTCTGACCCTCTCTGCCCTAACACTTGCATAAATTCTCTATTTTAGTATAGGTAGCTAGTACTTCAAAGACAGTGTTTTCTTAAATTATCAAAAATAACGAGCTGAATTATAATATTCGACACTTAATTTTTCCTTCAGGAACTCATCAACAGACACTTAATAACTATGGCCCAGATTGATCAGGCTGATATTCCTGGTGAGTGTTTCTCAAAACTCTTAAAAGTGATTGTGTTTTTCTGCAGCCATGCACGTTCATCTGTATTAACATCTTGCAAAAAATGCCTGTTTTTAATTTTTAATGGAGCCAGCCCAGGCTCTGATTAACCAAATGCAAAGTGTTTCACAAATATGAATTATCCTTTCTGTCTTCTATTGTAATTTTCTTCTATTTTTAAACTCCTTAATAGTTAGGAATACTTCAAATTGCTGAGAAGGGAAAAATCATTAAGGCAGTAAGACCTTGTGAAGGACAGTTCTGTATTACTTTGTAGATATTAGGTACTTCTTTAAGTGATGCATATATTTTTCAAAGGTTGTATGTAAACTAGCAGAGCAGTTTGTTTTCAAGTGACTTGGCTGGTATATCAGGGAAGGCTTTGTACTAGTTGTCAGGCAAAAGAACCGTTTACTGTGATTTGGCTTTTGGGGAATTTACATTATTCAGCTTGATTTAAACAGTTTTTGCTTGCAGTATCTTCTCAAATGTGTGCATAATATGATAATGATGCAGTTAAAAAAATGCAGTTCAGTGTTTTAATCCAGATGAAGTGCGAGGGTAATCTCTTAATCTGATTTGTAAACCTTCAGCACGTCTCTCTCCCCGTTTTCTAAACAAATATATTTAAACACATAAGACTGATACTTGCTTTTTTTTCTGATGAAAATGGGGTTCTTACTATGATATGAAGCCTGTATAGAAATTGGTGCTTATTATTGAATCAGTGTAGGAAAACCACCAAAGAAATAGCATTCATAAGGGTGAATTTCTAAGGTAAATAAGAAAATGGCAGATGGAACTGTGCATCTATTCTGTTGATTTTACTTGGTGAAACACCTTTTCTGAAGACAGTAATTTTAGCTCTGTGAGATCATTTCTAAGAACCTACCAATATGTTGGTATTAAAGCAAAAGTAGTGATTTTAACTTCACATGCACCTGTTGTGCATGGTGTGCACCCTACTGATAGTGGAGATAATTTGTATATTAGTGAAAGTCATTTTAATTTTCTCTGCTACATAGTAACTTTCTCAAAGTCAGCTGAGGCCTGATGTGTTTCTGTATATAAACTGATTTTAGCAGTTCCTGCGGAAGTGGACAGCTACCACAGTCTCTTTCCTTTGGAACCACTGCCACCGCCCAATCGGATACAGAAAACAAGCAACTTTGGGTACATTACATCGTGCTATAAAGCTGTAAATAGTAAAGATGACCTGCCATATTGCCTTCGGAGGATACACGGTGAGAAAAATTGTAGGGCTAGCATTCCTAAGCATACCAGTCATATTTTAATGTCTGGTTGCTTCTCAGCAGTTTCAGGTGAAATGTTCAAGTAAAAATTTCTCATTCTAAACAGTATACTTTAAACCATGGGTTTCATTTTTTTCTAGGTTTTCGTCTTGTTAACACAAAGTGCATGGTATTGGTTGACATGTGGAAAAAGATTCAGCACTCAAATATAGTAACTTTGCGTGAAGTGTTTACCACTAAAGCTTTTGGAGAACATTGTAAGTTTTTATTTTTTGTTTCCCACTGCCCTTCCCCTCCAACCTCCTAGCTGATGTGTTGATACTTTTTTCAAATGTGCTTGAGTTAATAAATACCACCTGTTTCTATTTTTAAGCGCTAGTGTTTGCATATGATTTTCATGCTGGAGGAGAGACTATGATGAGCAGACACTTCAATGACCCTAGTGCTGATTCCTATTTCACAAAACGGAAATGGGGTAAGGAAACCACACTATCATATAATACTTCTGTACACTGTTTCCAATACTTCAGCAGTAAACGTCTAGTCACAAATAGTTATCCAGCTTAATTTTTTGGCTAATCACTTTAGTCACCATAAGCTGATTGATGTAAGAGAACTCTTCTTCACCTCCTATTTGTAAAATTTTTAAAAATTATCAAGCAAGTATAAAGTTGATGTCAGCATGTAAGGGGATTATAGCTCTTTCAAAGAAAAGTAAGTTGAAACAAAATTGGGAGCCAGGAGCTCTGGTGTCCTTATTGCAGGTCTGTCACCAGGTAACACCTAACATTTAATGGGGATGATTCTAAAATTCAAAAGATATGCTATGCCAATTTGATGCTTGCTGTTTAGGGGTCCTACTTTTCTATTTCTTTTCCTCACTATGTATTATGAGGAATAATTAGTATTTTATTGGATGGTTTGAAAGTGAAGTACTAGTTAAGACAAGAAATGGATTGAAAAATCCCTGTACCATACTCTTTTCAGACATCAACTTCACATCTTAGGTCTGAATTTTTTTATCATGTTTATATGTAGCTTCAATGGAGTCACTAAAGCTATATCAACATTCTTAAAAAAAAAAAATCTGTCACAGGATGGTCTGTGGCTCAGCAAGTAGCCCAGTAGAGCTCATATGCTTGTGGCTAAAGCCTCTTCCCCTCCAAAACAGTGTGCTGTCCCTCATCCTTTCTGTTAGGACCAGTTTATGACCCCCACAGTCCTACAAACTGCAGTCAGGTGTTTGGAGCACAACAGTGCCATGCTGGGAAAGAGAGGTGGTCACTGCTGAATGGAATCACAGAAAGACTTAAGGCAGAAAAATACCCCACAGAGCTTTTTTGGACCAAATTCTGGCTTGATGCAGGACCAGCTTTGAAATTAGATCCAGCACCAGGGATGACCAGAGAACTGTGACATGGCCTGTGGTTGTGTTGTTTTTTTTTTTTTTTTCTTTTTAATTAGAGAAGTTCTTCCCAAAATGTCTTCAGGCTGCCAGCATATGAAGAGAAACAGAATGAGGCTTTTTTCTTTCTTGTGCCTTTTGAAATTAGAGCTTTTAGCTGTGAATTCAACCTGTTTAAAGGATTGAGATGTAGCACTTCACTTGGCTGTCTTTTACATCAGAGTGTATAGTGTTTTGGTAGTGTGTGAATATGTTCAAAAACTTGAAGAAAACCTTATATACATTCAGAAAGTTGTGGATACATTATATACTGCATATTTCTCACTGACTTTGCACTGAGCTGACCAGTGTAAGTGGAGATGGAACTTGATTTCCACCACTGATTTTGGTGGTCATATCTCAGATGGAGGAAACCCTAGTTTGATGTGTCATATCCTTTGGCAAATCAGAGAATGCAATTAGAGATTCAATAAACCTGATGTGAAACTAATTTGGTGAGATAAAACTGGAAGATCTACTGCCAGGTTAATGACTGTTACGTGCAGGACTGGACTTCTGAGCATTTCCCAGTCATGGTTTTCAATTCCATGTAAATCAGTCCTTGTTACGTTTTTATATATCTCTAGAAAATCATAGAAGAATGATGTCTGTTCTAGACAAAATAATAGAAGTTACAATAAAATTCTTGGGAACACATTCTTTTGTCACACTGGAAAATAATTAGGTTATGGTCCCGTAAAGGGCAGTCTTGTCTCATTAATCTGTCAAAGTTCTTTAAAGGAAGATCCAGTAGATAAGACTTTGGAGTTTTCAGTGATGTCCAACAGAGTCTTTAAGAGACCTAATATGGCAAAGAAAGTTCTCAGGTTAATGCCTGGTTAGAATATTGGAAACAGAGTGAACAGTGAAGATCACTGATGGGTCTCACAAGATAATGTCCTGGTAGTTGTATTTCTTAACACATTCACTTGTTTCCTCTGAAGATAAATGGTCTGTCAAAGTTTGCTGGTAATATCAAATTATTTGGATTGTTAAAAACAAAGGCCAATTGTGATTGATTGCAGAAGGATCTTACAAGACTGGAACTCCTACTGATAATACAGCAGGTGATGTAGTGTAAACCATTGTGATCAAAGGAAAAGTGTATCTAGCTTTAAACATGAAATGATGGCCTCTGTGACTGCTGCCACTCAGTAATAGGTCTGGGACTACAGTTAAATAGATTGAAGAAAATGCTGTCCTCTTGCTGAATAGCTGTAAATAGGAAATAGGTTGATGTAGCTTATTAAAAAAAGAGCAGTGAAATGGTAGATATTTTATTCAAGATGTGTGTGCCTGATAGACTCCTGTCTGAAGCTGTGATCCTCCTCCTGTATTTTGAAAGGTGTAGAAGAGCAGTAAAGAAGTTGAGAAGAGGTGACAGGGATGATCAAAGGTGTGAAGCAGTTGGATGAAAAACAGCAAAGTGGAATAATGCTTTTTATGCTTTTAAAGATGAAAAGGAATATAATGGGGTTAAAAATGACCGGAATATGGTCTGAAAAATCATCTGGAATAATGAAGCAATGAATAAAAAAAGTTTATTTCTTCCAGCCTAAGACTAAGGACTTAACCAATGAAACAGGTAGCAAATTCAAAACCTGTGTAAATATAATTAAGCTATGGAACTTCACAGATTATTGTGGGCATTTGCCTAGGTTCAAGGAAGAAGTGGGCTTACTCATGGAGGAGAAATATTTGGGGACTGCAAAGACATGATGTACTTCTGGGCTGTGAATCACTGGAGGCTAACAGAATATTCTACATGTTTGTTTACACACTTCAGTATTCATGGCAAGCTGATTTTAGTGTATGTGTCTTTGAAACAGGCTCATGGGCTATCTGGACCCTTTATTTGGCCTACTTCAACTTCCTTTTATAGGCAGGAATAATCTGGGAAGTTGGAAATAAGTCATTAATGTCTGTTCAAACCAAAGTCGGAATTAATTAAAATGAGCTGTTGCAACAGAACTTACAGGGGTATGTTGGGAAGATAACTGTCTCCCGACTATGGCACTTACTACCTGCTCTCTCAACCTTTTTAGTATATAAATTAGGGGAAAGTCACCTGAATTTCCAAATTTTGCCAAATCTTTCTGCATATCTTTGCTTTGGCCTTTCTTTTTTTTCTTTTTTTGATAACTGCTATTTCCTAGTCTGGTCCTCAGTAGAAGGAGCAATTTAAGAGAGAAAAATAAGATTGCATACCTATAACTTGATTTCTCAGAATTGCCTGCCTTCACGGATCCTTTCTCCATCCCCTCACAGAGTTTCTTGGCCGTCTGCCTGCCTAGAGGAGACTCCCAAGAGAAGCAGGGGAATGGATGGAAGTTGGGTACTCTGCAGCATGAGACCCAGATTAGTACAATTGCTTTTAAAGGTTTTAGGAGGCACAACACTGTGAACCTGATCAGTGAACTCAGAGAATTTGATTTCAGGTATGCAACCTTATTTATGTTGAACACTTCAGTTGGCAACATGAGACCTTGATAGTTAAAAGATGAGGATTATGGTTTACATGGCTGTCTTGCATGTCACTGGTGTCAATGTGGTCAGTCTTGGGTGTTTTCTTCTTGCCATGTTATTTATAGACCCTGTTACAGCACTATCTTGGTAGATACTTGGTGTGGGAGAGAAAAATAGCAGCTTACAGTTATTTTTATATTGTAAACTAACGTCTCTAACTTCTGAATGCAGTAGAATTTGTTGCTTCTGTTCTTTATTCAATGATACCTCCTCTTCCTTCAGATGGTACTGTGTGGTAATCTAACATTGTTCTGTCATGTTTTACTAAATTTGCACATGTTTTAATATCAGGAATCTGAATTTTCAGTTAATTGCTACTCAAAGTACATTTATTTGAAAAGTTTCTTATTTTATTCTCACTTCTTGTATTTCCTCAAAACACTACATCATACTCTAAACGTTAAATCTGTTCTGGAACTTTTTGGTTTTCTTCCACCTTTCGTAGATTTCTTAGCTCCAGATTATAGTGTGCATTTATCTCTGCTGAAATTATGTTCTCTTTACATTAACAAGGTTACCCAAAAGTACTGAAATGTTGCTCATAACAGACCAAGAATTGAATGGTAAATCAAATTGTGAATGTATGTACTTTAAAACTTAACAGCCAGAAAATCCTGGCAAATTAACAGTAACTATTGACAGCTGCCAGAAAGGTTTGTCCTGATGAGTTTCTGTGGTTGGCAGAGATAAGTATGCCTTTGATATGTCCTTTGCTCTGCTTTTAAACATTCTGAGTAATTAAATGTTGGTGTGCATGCTGTTAGTAGTTTTCAGCAGCACAGTCTCTGTTTTTCAGCAAACAAATACCTTCTGATGAAGATAAGCATGGTCCGGGAAACTTGCTTTTCATTTGACACATTAATAGTAGTATGTCATGCACAAAAATGGACTTCACTGCTGACTTTACAGTTTTTGCATTCCCATGTGCTGAATGTTTGTTCATAAAACACCCCTTCCATTGAAAAAGAAATAAATTGTGTGATGACTAGATGAATAGTGTGTGATGAGGAGTAAGAATATATGAATATTGAAAGTCAGCATGATGTTTTTGAAGACAAAATATGTGACTAATAATTATCCTAAAATACCTTTGCCAAAAGCTGCAACTTTTTCAAAGTAAGTTCAAGCTTTTAGTAGTTTTGGAATTTTTTCAAAAAACACTGCTACACTCTAGTAGTTCAGAACCTTTCTGTATATTGAAAGCTGGGAAATGTAAAACCAAACTCCAAGTTTCCCTGAAGGAGAAATGAAGGCTACTGCATTTGTTTTGTTTTCAATACTTTAACTTAGGAACACCAAGTAAACACTGAACAATTCACAGTTCTAAATGTAAAAGACTGATTTACAAGCCTGAGAGGTTCAGTGTAGTGAACAGATAAATCTTTCACTGTTTTTTTTTCCTTTTCTTTTTCTTTTCTTCATAACTGTATGAGATTTGCTGTTTCTTAGAATGCTTTCTGGCAGTGTTCCTGATGATGTCAAAAAGGCCCTATTGGTGTTCCTAGGTCTTACTTCCCACCTCAGGACTATTCCTGGATTCATACTTGCTCTGGAGAACAGAATTTCATTCGAATGCCTTTTTTAACAAGCAAAAACTTAATATTCACATGCACACCAGTACAGAGGGTAATTTTTTTGTTTTATTGTCAACAGCATACCACAGAACTAAAAAATAAGTGTCAGCATTATTTATTTATGTTTATCCCAATGTGGCAAGGAAAAATAATGGATAACCTGTGTTTTTGAAATGGCAGGTTTTAAATTTTTAATCTTTTCCATTAGTGGCTGTGCTCTACATCACAGAGATGAAATTATTGGGAGAGGTGAATCTGCCATGAAGTAGGTGGGAAAAACACAGTCTGAAATTTTGATTGTTGTAGCCATAGATTCAGCCTGTGGTGGGAAGCTTTTGCAAATCAACCGTGGAATCTCTAAAAAAATCTTACTTTTTCAAGTAAGGGTAACATTTACTTATATTTTTGTGATGCTTTTCCTTGTGTTCAGCACTGTTTGGAAAGCTTTCCAGTTTTGTGTCTCTCTTGAAGAGCAAGCTTTTGGGTCTCATCTCCTCCTTGGTTCCTTGCTCAAGTGCTGTCTGTGGCAGGTCTGATGGGCCTCTTGGGACATACATTATAGTCACCATTGCAACCAACTGAACTGCTTTTTATCATGCTTATTTTGAATCAAGAGATACATAAGAGGGCATTTCAAAGCTGATTCTTTCCCATGTTTTAGCCTGTATATTTAGTGTATGTGAGTGTGGGGTGCAGCCAACTGTTGTGAAAGCAGCAGCCTAGATTTGGCTATATCCTCAAGTAATTTTTTCAAGTAGTGAAATGTTGCTTGAGATTTTCTGATAGATGAGGAGCAGCTGCATTGAGCATTGGTCTTTCAGTGTATATTGGATGTTCTCTTGGTTACATTGCTTTCATTTCAAAAACAAAAGGCAGGTGCTGTTATGCATGTAGAAAAATAGCTGCCAAGTTTGGGCTTTTTTCTCTCTTGGGGATATTATAGCAACATTTCTATTCTGGACTTACTTTGTACAGATGTAACTGGCTTACAGTATCCGTCCACATCCCTGTTACTCACTACTCATGTTGCTGTTCACCAAATATAAGTACATTCTACAGCAAGTAGTAAAGAGTCTCAGCTAATACAGGAGGTTGTATCTCCTCAGTCATTTTGTATTGTAATTTTTGTCAAGCTGAAGAAGAGAGAATTATGCAGGAAAAGGTTAGCTACATGAGACTTCTGGTATGATGATTGTCGTGGGAAGTAATTTGCATAATGAATAATCAGGGGGCCAGAAGAAACAAACAATATCTCACTATATTCAGCTTTCAGTAGACATGCCAGGCGTATTGCTTTTTAAAGGACTCAGCATCTTGGTCTTTGTAATCTAAACCAAAGCACCTTAAACCTGAAAAGCAAATTGAAATTTCAAAAATGGATGAAGCAAAGCTCAAATGAAAGCTAGTAACATTCCCAGCCCATCACCCCAAAGTCAGTAAAGTTTCCAATTAAAATATTATCAGTAATGTGTTCCGTTTTTTTTCACTGTGCATGTATTTTGTGTGTACGTACACATGTAAGCATGTACATGCTTACTTTGATCAAATGCACAGCTGCTGATATGATTGTGCAGGAAAAGGGGAAAAAAAACCCCCAATCTCAAAAAACAAGAACAAAAAACTAAGCAACCCAAACGAAAAAGAAGACAGAAAAGAAAGATGTTTAGAGAAGAGCACGGTCAGTTTACAGCGGAACTAATCAGATGCTTGCATGATTTTACTTTATACTGAAGATATTACTGGTCCCAAAATTAGCAAAATCAGTACTGAGGCAATCTCTTGAAATGTCTCTTGTAGTTTGTGAAATTGACATGTACTGTCTTATTTTGGATGTATTTTCTTCTGCTTCAACTTTGTGACAGGCAAACAATACCAGCTTACTTGAATTTCACACGTCATACTTAAAATAACATTTGTTATCTATCTCTTTAGTTTTTCGTCTGTTACTCAGTATTACTCAGGCTGTTTGTAAAGTAGGATTTGAGTGTGTGTTTGCAAAGGTTGAGTTTTACTTTTGAAAGGAGAACTACAAATCCAATTGGAAGGGAAGCAATGCCTTTCTTTCACCCATGGAATAGGGGTCATGCAGTGATGTCAGGGAGCTGTGTCATAGCAGAACATACATGAGGTTGTGTTCAATGATGTTTAGCCACCAAATCTTTGTCTGATTTTCCCATGTAATATGAAATTAGCTTGTTATTTTTCTCTTATTAGATGATAGAAAATGTTTAGTTGGGAAGCCTACCTGCAGTAAAGGAGGTAAAATGTCACAGCTACAGTGGTACATACTCTTTGTTTTGGGATACTGGTGTTTTTACTTCTGAAGCACCTGCATATTTTGATATACCCACAACTTTGAGCAATTTCCAACCAATGCTCATTCTAAACTTCAAAACATCATTTCCCTGAATATGAGAGTGAAAATAATAATGCCTAATGAATTGCCAACATTTTTTAAAAATCACAAAACCAGCCAATGAAAAAAATCATATTCTCAAATTCATCTTTAAAGCAAAATAGATGTGTCTTTCAAGGACTATTAAGAGTTAAATGAATATATGAGTTAATTGTATGATTCAAAACGTTGTACTTTTCTTTTTGCACAGCAGCCTTCTATTGATGCTTACGATATTTTGGTTCTAGGTCAGCATGATGGACCTCTGCCACGGCAGCATGCGGGGTTACTTCCAGAGTCCTTGATATGGGCGTATATTGTGCAGCTCAGCTCTGCCTTACGGACCATTCACACAGCAGGACTGGCGTGCAGAGTTATGGATCCAACGAAGATTCTGGTAACAGGCAAAACAAGGTAATGAAAGCATTCAGTCTCACTGCACTCTGTGTTCGTGGCAGCTGCTGGCTGTGCACCTGATACATAAATAGCTACTAAGTTCTCTCAGCTGGCATGAGGCAGTGTGCTGAAGCTTTGGGTTTTTTAGAGGTATTTTAAAACATTTTGGGAAGACATACATTATCCTCAAACTACAGATCAGACCCACTACTGTCAGTTTAGAAATTCGTTGATTTATTTGTAAACTGAATACTGTCTGTGCATTTTATCAAATAGTAAAAGCAATCTTTTCTGATGCATAGTAATTTGCTAAGTACCAATGGCTTTTATTATATCAAACAATTTCATGAATGCTAGAGGAAAAATGGAGTAACCAATTAAGTTTAATGTCAATTTTTCCTTTTCTCCTCTTGTTCCTAAAGGTTACGAGTTAATTGTGTTGGAATCTTTGACGTTTTGACATTTGACAACAGTCAAAATAATCCACTGGCATTAATGGCTCAGTTTCAGGTAAGACACCACTGCCAGTTGGGTTGGTGGCTTGGCAAAGGGATTACTGCAAACCAGTGTGATTCCTTTCGGAAGACAAGTACTTTCATTCAACTGTAGTCCAGTGTATCTATCTGTAAATGAGTGCATTTTTTCATTTCTGATTTGATCTTGGTTCTCCCATACACTATTCAAATTTGCTTCTAATTTATAAATGTGAATTCTCACTTTGATATCTTCTGCTTCTAAGATTTCAGCAAACTCACTGAACAGGTTGAACTATAGTATTTAACAAACTTTAGTCAGAAACTACTGGAAATAGAAATTTCTAAATGAAGGAGAAGAAAAATCTTACATTTAGTGTTAGAGATAAAAAATAATGATTCAGTAATCTTTTTTTGCTCTTTCTTTTGTGATTTTAACCTAAATAAGTGTTGTATACCTGTTGAGAGGAGTGAGATCTTTCAATTAACTGCATTTAGGCCCTCTCGTCATACCTAAAAGATTCTAGTGTATCTTTATTTTGGGCTCCTAGTTTTTCCGTGCTCTCCTGGTGTTCTCTGAAGCGTGGACTCTGCATAATTCCTGAATTAAGAAGAACCCCTTTAGACTTAACAAAAACTGTTCCACAGTCATCTGGAGCATCACTGTGTACAGGAGTGCCTCTTTCCCTAACTTCCCCTCAGGGTAAAGTACGTTACTTCAGCAGTCATCACATACCCTGTCTGTACTGGGAGTGAAAGACTACAGTAGGGAGTTGGATTTAATTTATTTGCAATGATTTACCTTATTCGCTGTGAGAACTGCTTATTCAGAGTCTTCAAGTAATAACTGATATGTTTGAACTTTGGCCAGCAGAAAGTAGCTTGTAGGAGACTATGTCCTAGAACATAATTTTCTTCTTTTTTTAATGATGCAGTGAAGCAGTTTTCAGTGTACTTTGAGGAGTACACCAAAGGATTTCATGCTCCCACACACACACACTCTACTCAGCTACATATCAGTGGGCTTTTGATAATAGTTTAGTGGAAAACAGTTGAGAGAAGATGAAAATACATGTAAATAAGGGATTCCATGACTAACAATGTAATGAGAGGGTTTTTTTTTTTTAAATCTAAGTACATCTGTATTTTAATTTCAGCCTTGAAAGGGATCCCTCCTGTGATATTTTGACATTCAAGTAAATAAAAACATTTAAAGTACTTGGAGATACAAATCTAAAAATACTTGCAGGTACACAAGTCTGTCAAAAGTACTTACCACCATAGCAGCTGACTTGCTTGATAATGCCTAGTTTTGTTTAGGGGGAATGGCTTTTCATGTTTATATGTTGTTAATATTCAAATTGTTTAGGTTGCACTGCTAAATCAGGAAATAAGTACTCCTAAGTGCTTCATTTGGAAGATCTAAACTGCAATTAATAAATACAGTACGGCATTTTCTTTTGTTGCTTTTTCTATAAGGGCTTTCACTGCCCATTTTCTTCCTTCAGAGGTGCCAGACTGAGTTCATTCCTTGAAATTTAGGAGTCATTTCTCATGATCTACCTTTATTTGCCCTAGCCAGATAAAATTACAAAATAACAGCTGCTGCTTGTGCTTTTTTTCCTTTCGATCTGTGAGCCAGTTCCTGAATTCCTCTGGGACTCCTGTGACTGTTTTAAATGTAGGTTATCTCTTGGTTTACTGCCCAGCTAACATGCATTTCCTTGTTGTCATCAATGGAGAAAGGTATGTTTGTTAGGATTTGCCATTTTCTGGCTATTTCCCATGGTTAATGTAAAGACAGATTTTGACAAAAACAGTGAAGGGCTGTGTAAAAGGAGTGCAATTGTTCTTCACAATCTGTGTTAAACACATTCATTTCTATGATCATTAAAGTGTTACATAAAGGCAATGATAAGGGAAGCTAAAAATAAGTAAATTAAATATGAATGGCCACTTGTGTTAAAAACCAGGGGTTAAACCTGTATAAAGTACAGCACATCACTTCCTGCCCCCTTCCTTCAGACCATAAGTCTTGTGTCAGTCAATTGCAAGGTACAGATAGGAAAACTAAATGGTGATACAGGAAACAGTAAAAAGGTTTAATAAATATTTCTGTGTTTGGAATAAAATGTGAGTCCTCTCCTTTACAAAAATAAGAGAATGTAAGTTTTACTGTTTTAACAAGGACTATAAGGTTGCTTTTGCTTAAAGTAAATATTTACAATTTAGCAAACCAAAATAACTTTCTCATGTACCTTCCCAGATTTAAAGAAAGTAGTTTGAAGAGGCATCTCAAGTACTAATATTGACTCTAAACAAAGCCACCAAAATATAGGAATTTGGAGGTTCTTTTAAGGACAGTTCCAGAACTTATCCTATTAAGTGAATCCACAGAACTGGAGTATGGATGAGCTGATACTGATTCAAGCATACAGTGTATCAGGGTAAACAAAATAAAAGAAAAAGTGATGTTGGGTTCAAAGTGTTTCTTGGAAATGTATCCTGTAAAAAAAAAAAAAAGTTTTATTTGAATAGTTTACATGTCTGGCTAGTAAAATCAAGTGTAGAAAGTGTTGAGGTATCTAGGGCATTTGGCATAGTGGCACATACCTATTTAAGATTTAAAAAATTAAGAAATGCAATTAACATTTAACTTACTCACTTGACATGCTTGAATTTGATTTGGTAACAGGGAGACATTATTGAAGGGGGCTGTTTCTGAGTTTATCTCCTAGGGCTGGTTTTTAGTGAATACTATTTAATAGTTCTATCAGTGAACTAAATGTTGATAACATCTTTACTTGCAAAGCTTTCAAGAGATAAAAAATAAAGTTGGTACAGGTTACAGTTACGAATTGAATTACTAATTAGGTGGCTATTAATTGCATGAAAGGTGCATTTTTGAACAAAAGGCTTGCCTGTGCTTAGAAGGTATAAAGCTTTTCCTTGAAGTTAGGAATCAGCTTAATAAGACTTCTTGTCACTGTTGATAGTTACCATAGCAGAAGTTTTCTGTCAGATCTGTGGCAAAAGGAACTTACGTGATCCATAGGAGCATGCAAACACAATAGGGAGTATAAACAAGGAAATCATTGTACCCAATATTGATCTGTACCTTGCACTAGCAAGGCTATACAGAAATGCAGCATATATTTCTAGTGTTCCTGCTGCAAGGAAGTCTAGTAGTTATTGTGTGCCTTCTTTAACCTTTCTTTGCCTAGGAGCAGTAAGAGCTGAATTGCTGATATTTTTAGAGGGTAGTTTAGGACTTAATAGGCATATGTGGATTGCTTCCCTACAGAAAGAATGACATAACGTAGCTTCTGGGAAGTCATGTACACGGTCTGAATGGATAGAGTTGGTTGGTGGATGGTAGTTTAGTTGCTTTTAAACCAGTATTCTGATTCTCAGGAATTCTCAGCTTTATGGGATCTTCCAGCTGGTGATAGTCTGATTCTGGAGTCACACAGGAAAAATATTGTCTTTGTGCTCTTGTAAAACATGAAACATTGGGTATTGTGATAACATTTTATTTCAGGGTTTCAGCTAACAGTGAACAGCTTCCAGAGAGCAGTTCAACACTGGCTCAAAATCTGAATTGTCATACAGAATTACAGTTATACCTTAAATTGACCAGTCTCTTGATTGAATGCTTGAAGTCACTAAAATAAGTGGGATGAATCCAAGCCACTTTTGTGTCTAAAACAAGCTAATCATTGGCTGCAATTTGAAAACTATGTGTTTGGGGCTGCCTTGATGTGTTGTATCTTCTCTACTAGTTCTTCTGGTAGATGTAATTTACCAAACAAACAAACATTTTAAGATTGCAAGTCAAATGCTCAAAACCCCACAAAGCTCGAATTTAACATTTCCCATCTGATGTTAAATGTAAGACTTTCTCAACCATTTCTAAAATCGAGTGCAATCTGTATTATGAAAGCACCTGTGCAAAGGAAGACAGCATTTTCATAAGGTCTTGCCTGCAGTTGTATATTTTCAATGTCTCAGCATTGTGTGATGATGCAGAATTTATGTAGGATATATCTTTATGAATGACTAAAAGTTGAAAGGTACTAAATGTAAAGTAGAGGACTGCAGAAAGAAGTAAGACTGTGATTAATACAAATACATATTTCTCCCAAGTGTTTTGGGGGGGAAAAAATAATAATGAAAATGCCATTGTCTCAGGTGATACACATTTCTAGATATCGTACCAGCAAAAATCTTCTGTTTCAAACCACAGCAGTGTTCGCTGATGCTGAAATTGACTACTTAGTGAAAGTGAGTTCCCACCAGAAAGGGGGCTTATTGCTCTGATTAACTTCTCTTTACTAAAGAAAAAAGGAATGCTGATACTCAGAAATTCCATATTGCTTAGGAAATAGTCTGGCAAATGCCAGTCCCACCTCCTTATCAATCACTTTATCCTTATTTCTGTCTCATTTTCCATGTCCTGTTTCTGTCTTCATTAGCTACAAGCATAAGATGCTTTTTAACCTCTGACATATTGTGTATCAATTTTCAAATTTTCAAATTGTGCTGCTTAATCGTACTTGATATAGGAACAGCAAGGATATTCAGAGACCTGGAAAGGTTTGGTGTTTTTCCTTGTCCCTCAGCACCTGGGAGACGTGGCTTCGGGGAAGGCTCTGCTCAGCTGCTGCAGCCAGAGGCAACAAGTGTGGTTATGCCTCTGGATGGAAGAGCTGTGAAGGGCTGTGGCATGTTCACCATCACAGCACTTTTCTAAAGCTGCCAAATTCTAACCAGAACTTTTAATGTTCCCAGATTTTTTAGCCTTTCTTATGGAAACGACAGAAGGTGTATTCCTTGTAAGACTGCATTCACTGCTAAATGGCTTGGCCTTGTTCTAGGCTATGGAACTGACATTCTCAATTACGAGTAGCTTTTTATGTTTTTAGTTTTGCAAAAATATCTTATTTTCTCAAAAAAGAAAACCTCAGGAAGATTCTAATTTCATATCTAGCCGACTGTTAAATTCTCTCTGAGGCATGTATCCAGCATGGAAAGCTGCAGGTGTTTTTAAGTTTGGCCAAGTTGTATGCAACTGAAAGCCTTTCCATGGAAAGAATCAGTTCAACTTATCCTATGAATGTCATTCGTTTGCTACTAAATTAGGTTCTTGTTTTTAACAGTGGACTTTAAAATCTATTACAGCTTCTCAAAATCATTTCTCATGGCTGGCTATTAATACTGGCAGAATTTTCTGTTACAGCAAAGCAGGCTGTATCCAGCATTCATCTTTTAAGAGTAGTTCTACTTTTAACATAAGCGTTTAGTAATGCAAAGGTTTCTTCATAACACACTATACTGTTCTGTTTGTCGGCCGTACAGGCCTGTTATTTTGCACAGTTCAGATCTTTTCACACTGTCCATCAGAGACGAAAATATTTGAGCAATTTGTTAAAATGGTAATATCGTGTGCTGGAATGTGGTGTGGATCCCAGTATGGAATTCACAGTGGATGGCTAGATTGAAAAGATATGATTGCAGAAAATGCTGGTTTCAGTTTAACAAATAATCCTTTTATTTCTACATCTCGTATTGAGAAGACTTGCTCTTTGCCACCAACTCCTTGACTTTTCAGGATTGAGCAGGTGGGTGGTTCAGAGAACCTCGTTACAGAGCTTCTGTTCACTACACAGTTCTCTCTGGTACTGTCCTTAAACTAAAAATAGGTAAATTTTGATCATTCAAAGATAAATATAGTACTTAAAAATTGCTAGGTGTCAGGACAGATTTTCCTCTGTACATTTTAACTACTGTAACTTGAACAATCATATCGAACTGTGATTTGAATAGTACTTACTTTAGTGCTCAAATTCTTCTAAGCTTATTGAAGAACTGTCTCTCTTTAATACCATCTAGTACCATAGGTAGTATTTATCTATACTAAGAATTTTTTACCTGTGTGTGTTTTCCCTATTAGCAAGCAGATCTGATCTCCCTGGGGAAAGTTGTGTTGGCTTTGGCTTGCAATTCTTTATCAGGAATTCAGAGAGAGAATTTGCAGAAAGCAATGGAACTGGTGACAATCAACTATTCCTCTGATCTGAAGAATCTGATTTTGTAAGTTTGTTTAATAAATCTTTTAAAGGAAATTGTAGCATTTTTTATATATACAAATGCAAATATCAAATGATGTCTTTAAATGTAAGTAGGATTACAAATAAATCTGTTGTTGAGTGTCTCCCTGGTTGGTGCACTGTTAAATATTGATATAATTTTTTTTAATAATACTGGTAAAGCTCTTAGTAAGAATTAGGAATGTAGACAAAACAAGCATTTTAGGTTGTCTTCAATACTGGACTTTATTGTGTGTTCTCTAAAATAGCAGTGTGCTAGTCTTATCTTACAGGTTCAGAAGGTACTGAGAAATAGGCACACTGAGTGCTAGTTTTTTTTTTCTGGCTGCATATTTTTTTTGTGTTATTTCAGTATAGTCAGCCTTTTTCCCCTTGTAGCCTGAGCGAGAAAAGTAGAAGTCTTTTCTCCTTTCCTCATTTGAGAAAACAATTGCATTACAGTGTGAATCTGCATCCTTCTCTCTTTGTATATGTTCTTGCTGTTTGAATGGGGTGAACTGTGCAGTTTTGTGAAAGTATACTCCTGTCTTGTTTAAATAACTGACTCAATGTATACATGCAAATTAATTATGTTTACTTGGATGGTATCTTCTTTTAAAACATAACAATTGTGAACTTTGTGTATTAAATACAAAAAGTCAAATAGTTATAAAAACATAATTGAATATAATGTCTGACATTTGCAGGAAGTAATCTTGTGGTGATTGGGTTATTTTGGCAGGTATTTGCTGACCGACCAAAACAGGCTTCGCAGTGTAAATGATATCATGCCTATGATTGGTGCACGATTCTATACTCAGTTGGATGCTGCTCAGATGCGAAATGATGTTATAGAAGAAGACCTAGCTAAGGTAAATCATGTAATAATTCCTGCAGGAAGACCTGTAGTCGGTGTTCCTAGAGCTGTAGCTTAAAAGGGAATGCTTTCTACTGGTTTCTGTTGGCTTTTTTTTCCTTCTGTTTGTTTATTAACCTAAGTAATCTGTCTGAAGGCTTGACAACTCTAAGCTCAGGCTTTTGAAAGCCCCAGAGCTTCAAGAATGCCTAGTTTTAAGATGTTCTCAGCTGTGTTTTAACTGAAGTAACATCTTCATTTCTAACCGGTAGTCTTGGGGAAATTATGTTCCTTATAGCATGGTTAAAAATAGCATTCTGAGTAAACAAGGCCATGTATGTCATGTAGATAATTACATGCATCATGTAGGTCATGTAATGTGTGCCAGAGGTTATACAGCAGTGTATATACAGCCTCTTAAATTTTTAGGTTTGGATGCTGGTGTCTCCTCTCTCATATGTTTTCCTTTTGGAATGAGTTCTAATTTGTGGATATGATGTGTTCAGCTTTCCTGAAGCATGCTCTCTGGCTGTGGGGGTCTGTAGTGTTCAGTCAAGGTATCAAGTGCTAGCTATAAAGGAAATATGTACTATGTATCAAGTCAGGGTGTATTTGTTCAACAGGAAGGAGTGTCTCTTAGTCTGAAGCAATTGACAGCAGGATTTCTGTCTCAGTACCAGGACTGAGATATATTGCAGAATGCTTTCATGGCCTTGAAAAGGTGTGGGATAGGGTATTACCCAAGGAGTTATTCAAGTCCTGTGATTCCACTCCGTTATAACCCCTCACTGAGAACTTTTAAGAGACAGTAGGCAAGTCTTTAGGATTCTGATGGACTCTGGTTCTCTTGATTTCTCCAATTTTGTCCTGTTGGAGAACAGTTTTCCCCTCCTTGATGGAAGATGCTGAAATCTATCACAAACAAGGAGCTGTAGAATAGCCAGGCAATATCTCGATACTGGGTGCCCACTTTATCAGAATCAATCTTCTCCTGAGGTGTTCAAGATCATTTGTTCTTAAGGTGGCCTGCACAGAGCTGGACAGATGGACTCTCTCCCACAGGAAAGGTGAAGACTGCCCTGTGATCAGCGTTAGAATTTTTGTATTTTTAGTCAGGTTGTTTGAACAATTGCTTGTCAGTGGCAGGTGGACAGAGCTACTATAAATACAAGTTGTTACTTAGCCCTCAGTTTGGCAATAGCTGTTTACCTGACAGTGATAAATACCACTTCTTAGTGGCATTAGCTGTCATGCTGGAACTTGTTTGTGCTATGACATCCCCTCCATTAGCATCAGAGCTACAGGATCCCTTAAGTCTAGCCTAGTACCATCTGTTCAATTTTGTCCCAAGGCAAATGCTTTGGAGGGAGTATTAGAAAAAGACTAGCATGTGTGATTTTCTTCCTCATATTGTCCAAGCATGCAGTCATCTGTAGCTGAGGGACTTCTGATGCTGGGAGTGGTTTGTGTGCAGTTAATATCTTTATAACACTCACTTTTCACAGAGCAGTGACCTTATTATGCTATTCCTTTCTTTCTTCACTTTTACATTAATGATACTGATGTAACAGCACTCAAAGCCTCAGTTTATCCAAGCCCTATGGAGAGTATCTCCCTTCTTACAGGCCACTAAGCCTGCAGAGAGGCTGCCTGGAGACTTAGTGCCTGTGTTGTTGCTCAGCTGTGTCACTGTTGACTGGTAATCTGCAAGGCAGTGAACTTCAGACAGATGTAGTTTTGGCTTTTGAGTATTTGACCACATACCAAAAATAAATTTGGAGGTTAGACCAAATAGTAGACCTTGGCTAGCTGGACAGGGTTGGTTTTCCATATCAGTCTCTTTAAGTATAGCTACTGCTGTGGTACAAGCTGTTCTCCAGTGTGTTTCTAGACTATTGATAGAAATCTACAACCCATAGGTTGTCCAAGGTCAGGCTGTTAGCACCTAGACCTACTTTATTTACCCAGCTGTGCACTGTAATCTACTTCAGACTGAAATAATTTGAAATCAATATGATCATGCATGGAATTAGATGCATCTTAGCATGAATAATGTTGTAGACCTGAACCACTGGAGAATGTGAAAAATATCAGAGAGGATCTTTTCCTGACAGTATAAACTTTGATTTACACTGCGAATTAATTTTTTGTTTAATGTAAACTAGGATGTTATTATTTTTACTGCATCCTAAGTGATGTGGAAAAACATGCTAAATCAACTTTCAATTGTATGTTTGCTAAGCATCTGTAATTCTAATGTTCTGCCTCTGTGTGACCTCATTGTCAGTGCTTTATTTCTATAATTTATGAACTCAGCATTTATACTCTTTTGAGACTTAGATTCTTAACTGCTTTGAAAAAAAAATGGTTTCAAAATTACTTTTGCAATCAATTATCATTTGAGTATTAATCTGATTATGTTGTTGCTAAATATTTACTAATAATGCCCTACAAAGCATTCCTGAAAAACTAATCTGGTAGATTGTTTCTTCTCGTCTTTTCCTGAAATAAGGTGATGTAATGCATATTTCTGCATATTTTGGTAACTATGTATGTGTCTGCGTATATATATAAAAAAACCCATATTCTTGTTTAATGTACTGTATTTTAGCATACCTGTGAGTATAGGCTGGCAAGAGACTAGGCTTATATTTCCACAAAGAAATAGGTTGCCTGGTCCAGTTCCTGCTTGGACAAAGAGGTATTATTAGTTGCTGAATCTCCACATTAGAATTTGAAGTGCTAAAATGAGCATTTGACCTCTATGTGGAAAAAATTATACCCTCTTCTTTGAATACATGTCTTTGTAATTAATGGTGCTTCATTGGCATTAATACCATGTATGTTTTGCAAGTAAATGTCCTAATTTTGTTTCAGAGACTCTTAATAACCTTTTTCTTGTTTTCTAGGAGGTGCAAAATGGAAGGTTGTTTAGGCTTCTAGCAAAATTGGGAACAATCAATGAGAGGCCAGAGTAAGAAATACTTATTTTTGTGGTTTAGAAACTTAGTTTGCAATGCACTTTCTTCCTTCATAAATTTAAGCTAAATGTTTTCCCCTATATTTTCCCCAGAAGAAATGAGTATTTAAGAAGCCTTGAGAAAAAATAGATAAGCAACTTTGACCAAAACTTTAAGTTGACAGGAGAAGGCTACAAGTAGATATGCCAAAGTTGGCTTCATTATATTTAGTATGGTTTCTCTTAGCAGTCTCTTGTGAGTGGCAGTAGTTTTGGAGGAAATCCATAGCTTGCTTTAACTGAAGCAAAGGATGTAGATACTGGTTTTAAGCTAGTGAGTTTTCACCTTGTTTTTTTATTAACTAACCACATCAAAATGAAGTATTCATTGTCTATTTTCCATCCTTTTGCATAAAATTAGAGTTATGTTTATAATACAGATTTCTACACGTGTTTTACACAGTAAACTTGTTGCAAATAACTTTTGCTTTCTTCCGTTATTTTTCTGTGGCTATTGGAAGGCATTAGCTTTAGGTGCTCAAGCAGTTGAGAAAGTTTTTGTGTATGTTATCTTCTGTTTGTGGGGACGGAGTGACTAATTTAATTGCAATTTATAGCAGGTAGATTAGCTGTGCAATAAGACTGCTCATCTGAGATTGAAGTGTCTTTTATATGTGTTGGGTTTGATTTTTTGTTAACTTACTGAATTTTAATATGAGCCTTTGTTGTACACTACCAGGTTTCAGAAGGACCCAACGTGGTCAGAAACTGGAGACAGGTATTTACTAAAGCTCTTTCGAGATCACCTTTTCCATCAGGTGACAGAAGCGGGTACTCCTTGGATTGACCTCAGTCACATTATCTCATGTCTTAACAAGGTACACTGTACTTCAGTTAGCTTTTAAACATTTGTTTGGGTTAGCTTTCTTTAAAAGATATTCCACTGCAAAGCAAGTTGGCATTGGAAGGTTAATGACGTTGGTTTAGCTGGTGGTTATTTTCCCCGTTTTGGATTAAAACCATTTATTCCCTAAGCTAATATTCCAGCATCTATGGATATTTTAAATAAAACTAGTACATGAATATTAAAAAAAAAGTTAATATAGTGTGAGATATAGTATTAACTTTTCATTCTAGAATGCATTGATTTCTGTGGGTTAGCAATGCTGGTCCCTTTATGCTACTCTGGTCTTTCAACACAGCATAAAGGATCCATAATACTCCTTTAACTGGGGGAGATTTCTGCTGATAGTTATCACTAAGGATGGTCATAAGGCAAGATCTATTCCTAAACTGTGCTGACTTGAGTAGAATACAGGAAGGAAACTGCAACATAAATTTGTGCAAAATTCTTGCCATCTAGAACAGTGCTGGAAAATTTCTGTGACTTAACATTTTAAGTCCACTTCTATAATAACTTCCCTAGCCTCTCCAACCCTTTGTTTTTCGAGGTTGACTTAACAAAGCTATTTGCAGTTTTATAAGAGCTGCACCACAAGCAGAATTTTATCTGAGCACTCTCATGATTAATAGCAGGAGATGGGTGAGAGACTACTAGATCTTCAGTAGATGAAGAACTTGTCTTGCTCCATAAATTAAAAAGTATGTGAGCTGATTATTTTTTTATTGGTAGATCAGCTTTCAACTTATTTTCCATTGTTCTGCCAAACTTCAATAATTCATGGGAGACTAAGATACTGCACTTTTTTTTTGTTGCTGTTTTTGTAGCTGCTTGGTAATTTCACTTGCTCTGTAGAGAATGGTGATGCAGACACTGACAATACAGTTTTAGTGCCCAATATTTTCTTTTCTAGGACTAGGATAGCCAACTTTCTCCTCCGAAAAAAGTGGAATATGTTCAGATCCTTTGATGCGTAATAACTGTACAGTTAAATCTTTTTCTAAAATTGTCAGGGTTTCTAACCTCCTATTAGACCACTGCTGTTCATTTTTTAACCTCCTTTTTATCTTTCTGGTTGGTGTCTGTAATCACTTTAAAAAGGACTTTAAAGGGATTGAGGCTAAATCAAAAAGAAAGCATGTTGACATTCAAGTAGGCATTGAAATGCCATCATGATTTGAAAGCAGTGACTCATACAGTACTGTAGCAAGAGGGGACAGTCCAGAATTCATAGGTCAGGTAAGAGACAATGTCAAAGAATGCCTTGTTCTATAAATGTTCATGGCTTACCTTTTCAAACAGAGGCTCTTCTCTTCTGTGGTTGTGGGTTCAGCACACAAAAAATGTAAGGCTTACAGAACTATGCTTTGGAAATACACTCTAAAAAGCACTTCAGAAACTATAGAAGTACTAGTAGAAGTTATGTGGGCTTCACTGCCAAAAGCATTCCTTTTGAATGAAAGCTATTCTGTTGCTTAAAAAAAAAAAAAGGCAAGCTTTCCTTTTCAATATAGTGTTTTGAGCATCCTTTTAGCTGAGAATACTGATTTATGCCTCCACAGGCGGAGAGAAAAAAAACTGTAAATACTGATGTTTGTAGTTAGCAGTGTGGCTTTCTCAATACAGATCCTCCATGTCCTACATTACTTAAGGTAATTAATTGACTTGTTGTATGATGCTCATGGTAATGAGCAGTGGAAAGTATTTCACAGACACCTTAATAGTGTAAATACTTTGTAATGGATGTTGGAAGACACTGGTGGTTTTATCTTACTCTACAAAAATTAGAAGCTAATTTGCTTGCTTTTGTCCTTCTGAAACCATTCACAAAGCAGCAGCTTTAAAATGTGGAAATTCCAGCTTTGAAGGTTATACTTAAAACATTACTTTAGAAGAGAAATGTAAGAAATTTCTAACTTGCTTTGTTGCTCCAGACAGCAGCTAGTGAAACATCTCTGTGACAAATTTAATTGTTTTTCTATTCAGTGCAACAATATAATGCATATATTTAAACCTGCTGGGGTTGTATTTCCAAAGAATGGATTGGTAGTGTCATATCTCACTTGTCTCTGCCCCACCTTTTGTATAAGAAAGACTGTGGTGGAACTATAAATGTATAGACTAAAACGAAACTACAAAAGTTCTGCATAATAAGAGTCTGATAGTTCTCTATTGAGGAACATTTCTTGTGACATGAGAATATAAGAAACAGTGATGTAATGGGCTGTGACATGTAAAGCAGGATATTCCTCTGTTAGAAATTAGAATCTAATGGTATATAAAAATAATACTGAATTTGAGAAGTCAGAACAAAGCATGAAAAGAAACATGAAGCAAATGTTGATCTGAACCCCAAATTTATCCATTATGGATTAATACCAAAGTAATTTTTTCTTTCTAAGGGATGAAATGTACCATACAGCTTAGGAACTATAGGAACTAGTTTGTTTCCAGTACTGCCACGAATGTGAGGTTTGGGTTTCTACCAGATTTCAGGCTACCCGGGGCTTATCCATCCATTATCTCATTTGAGAGTGGACAAGAAGTAAATTGCCTGCCCTACGTTTAGGCTTGTGGATCATATGTGCAAATGAAATGTCAAATTTAGTTTTGTTCTTCAGGAAGTACATGAAAATTTTGCCAGGCTTTCTACACAGGGAAGTATAGCATTGCAGAATTATTAGCTTTGTGGAAAGGGAAGGAAACAATGGTAATCTAGTCCTAAGGTCTGGAATGTCTGTCAGGTTAAGACTAAAATGTCTCGATTTTTTGGCAAGGACGTTGTTGTGGTGCGATTTGGATCCTTCCTTTGTGTAGCAGATTTGAACTGCACTGTAACAATGTACTTGCCAATAAATTGATTGCTTTTATTGTTGGGGAAATGTTTTGCCATTTCTTTCACACTTCTTTTATTTTATCTTTTGCATTCTTGTTACAGTTAGATGCTGGTGTGCCAGAAAAAATAAGCCTCATTTCCAGAGATGAGAAGAGTGTACTTGTGGTAACTTACAGCGATTTAAAACGCTGCTTTGAAAATACTTTTCAAGAACTGATTGCAGCCGCAAATGGTCAGTTGTAGTATTTGCTGAAGGCATGCAGGACATTGCTGAGGAACTTAACCTATAGCAAATTGCACTACAGCTGAATTGTTGTTGTCATCTCATTTCACATTTGGGAAACAAACAGGAGATGAGCAAAGCTGCTTGCACTTCAGTCAGGTACACTGTTACTTGAAGGGAAGAATGTTTCACTTATCCTAGAGCTAAGGCTGCCATTGGAGGCTTTATCTGTGAAGAATTTATTTTAGATTAAGGAACACATCAGGTGCATGATGTTCCTACTTTTATTTTTTCCACTTGTATATGCACTAATTTTAATTTTTTTAAGACTTTTCTGATCTCTGAAGTTTTGCCACATTGTATACTTAAGGGAAAATCTTTGCAAGGACATTTCTGGGATACATTTTTGTCACTGAGGATATAGCAAAATTTATTCATTTTTGATATTATTTGCACCCAGAATAGCATAAAGGACCAGGTAAATAATTTAATAGAAATTGTGTTCTATTAATGACCGTTTAGTTCGTAACCTGTAAAAGTGTGTTGTATGCAAGCTCTGTATGCCACCCACTGTTAGCTCAAAGAAATGTGAGAAGAAACAACTTTTTAAAACCAGTCAAGTGAAGTATTGGTGAATTGACCAAAAAGGAAAGAAAGTCCCCTGTCATTTGATTTAAAGTTTGTCTAAGCGAAGTGACGAATACAGCATAACGGGAAACATCTTTAATTTAAGGAGCATATCAAACGTGCTCTAAACACAACCAGCGCCTTTTAAAAACTGTTTGTACATTTTCCTGGTAGTCAGAAGCATTTACATTTATGCAATTTTTTTAATAGATTTTTTTTTTAAAGAAATTGTTTAAATGCCTGAAGTTTCAGGAGTGTATTACTTTAGGTTATTTACAGTATAATTTTTGTATAAAGTTCTGTTCTTTGAACCACAGCTTTATTATGGTACGCTACACTGGATACAGATACAAAGACACTGTTAAAAGAAGATTAACTAAACACAGCAGTTGTCTGGCATCAAGAGCTTTTCAAGTTTTACGGCCTGAATCTGGAGGGATAATGATCTGCTGTGCCTTTGCAGTCACTGCTTAGCCCAAAGTAATATTACTTTTGCTAATACTCAACACATGAATATTCCTGAAGTAATTCAGTCTCAAAAGTCTGGAATTTTGCTCCTCAATTACCTTTCTAATTTTTGGACATGCAGTTGTCTCCAAACTTGGGTATTCATGGGATTTCTAGTTAAACACCTACACTTTGATACTGAAGACTGCCAAATATGTAGGAATTTCCTTTCTTAAAGCAGTAGTGAAGACTGTATCTATCCTTTCCCAGCACTGAATGTTTTAATAGCACTGGGTGCTCACCATGAAGAAAATGTGGAAACTCAAAAGGTCAGGACAGACTCTAAGCACTTGCAACTGATGTTACTGACATCAATTTTAATAATTCTCAATATTTGTAGTTTTCAGAGAAGTTTTTAATATTTCTCTGTCCACTTTTATAAGCTTTAAAATGATTCTCCGCCGTGAGACTTGCATCAAGAAAAAAGCAACTCTCTTCACATCGAAAGCTTTGAAGACTAGGGACATGCTTTACACATTTTAGAAAATGTGGTTGAATCCACATTAAGTAGCATCAGTTGTTGAGTTTAAAAATCAATTATTGTTGCAATTTTAAAAGGAACATAATGTTTAATATTCAAACGATAACAGTTGCCAGAATGTTCTTTTTAATATAAAAGGAACAGGAACTTTGAAAAGTGAACATGCAGAACAGTCTTTTATCATTAGCTCATGTATTTGAGGAAGAGCAGCTGTCTTTTCTATGTTTTTTGACAAATCATATTGTAATTCTTTTGTACAAAAAAAAGAAGTACTTGTATTCTAGAAGAAATATGGAATGCTTAATTTATAAGCGGGCTGAGGTTTTTTCCAGTATTGTTTTCTTTGAAAATGAAAGGGGATCATCTGTTCAGTTGTGGGGTTTGGGAACCTTTGAAAATTTAATTTGTGGACCAATATTTTGTGGAAGTGTAAGGCAGGGGTAAAATAGGGCTTGAACTCTCATCCTTTTTTAGACCAGCACACCCTCTGCAAGACATGTCTAAATTGCAAACCTGTGTGTATTTGCATAATGTCAGTTTGCTTCAGCCCCTAGTAACCTCAGGACTTGGTTTAAAAATAAAAAGATAGACAGCTAATAAATTTTCATACATAATGTCAGGCAGAAAATATTTGGTGTCAGGTAATACATAAAATTTTTTAAAAGTTAAGATTTGTTTTCTATTTATTTTATTTGGTCTGTATTTGGGAATGATTTGAACAGTCTGAAGTTCACCTTGGGTGTTTTTTTGGGGAGAGCCCTTCTACCCCATTTTAATTCCATTTAGAAGGTTGTCCTAAAGTTGTAGTTTGATCCATTCATAGGAAGAACTGTGTATCTGTATTTAAAAGAAGAGTCACCAGGATGTGCCCTCCCAGATGGGAAATATATTTCTGACCTTCCTATTTTTTACAGCTAAAAGCACAGAAGGGACAACCTTTGAAATCATCTGATGTTGGTCATTTTAATTTTTGTACCTGTTTTAAATTCTGTTGCTGTATTTACTATATTGTAAATATTTTGTTGAGGGTACCTATGTATTTTTGATTTGCCCTTGTTTCAGTAATTCAGGTGTCAACTGCTTCCCCTAAAAAGCACCAGTATGTTAAGTTCTAATGTCATGATCCCAGTATGTGTTATTCATCTTTAATCCTGTTTTCATTGTTCATGTGTACAGCAGTATTTTTAATAAAGAATACCAGAAGTAACATGGCCTTATTTTGACAATGTGAAGTTCTGAAGTTGGATCCAGGGCTTTTCAACTTTGGTGCTGGAATTTTATTTCATTCTGTCTCATACTTCTTTTGTATTCATTCTGTCTGCAATGCAGAGTTTAAATTAACAGGAGTCACAAATTGTATTTAGTGCTTACCACTTAAGAGTGTATCAGATGTCCTAAAATTGAGAGATATTGTTCACTAGAATTGTATTAATGCATATTTCCATAACTCCCAAGTCAAATTCCGTCTGCTTCAGTTTGATTGGGTCTGCTTTACCTGGTAAGTCCAACTTTTGAAAGCTCTGCTCAATTGCTCCCATGTTTTTTGAGCTTTTCTTGCTCAGTTACAAAGTATATGAATTTCGCTGAGAATTTGCACATGGGGTCATGATAACTTCATTCCACAGAATTATTCTTCTCTATTTTTAACCAGCAAAGGTTAGATGTTTTGCTGGTGGGCTAAAATCTCCTATACCCATCCAATGCTAACCATGGTTATGGAAGATAAAATTTTGTGTAATATATTGTGAATTGTCAATAATCCCTGCACATATTTAACATGGAGTCATTATTGCTGAAATTGCAGTGGTTTAGGAATGTTATTATATAAGCTACAGTAAGTTTGATTGATGCACATATCAAGTCTCCAGTTTCCTCCTTAGTAATGTGCAGCAACAGCTATGCAACTGCTGTAGCAGTTGATGATCCCATTGTGTTCTGCTTTCCCAGAAATTTTTTTTTTTTTCATCTCCACTTCCTTCCAGCACCTGGAGAGCCCCTCAGGTGATCAAATGCTGTTTAGCAAGAGAGCACTTGATTGAAGATCTCTGTAGAAGCAGCATCCCCAGCTTCAGATGGATGGGATGGGGATTTGGGGGTTCTCTGAAGAAGACAGAACCCAGGCCTAAGGTGCTGCCTGCTGTCACAGTAGCTTCAGAACAGGCTTTTTTGGGAACACCTTAGCTCTGTTTGCTGTCCTTGTGTCTGGTGTGCGTCTTCTAGCTGCTGAAGGAACCAGGAATGGAGGGTGGTTGGGTGGAGGTTTGTCCCTGTGCTGCCTTGTCTCCCCCAGTATGAAACCTTGCCTCTCCCAGAGGCTGAGTTGAGTTTTTGTCTCTAGACAGCAGTAAGTACTTCCTAAATATGCTGAGCCTAGGAGATGTCACCCACACAAGGAGCAGTGACTGGTGGCTGTCACTGTAGCTTCTTTGCTGTGTGAGAAGTGTGCCTTCTGTGTGATTATTCCCTGTTCTCCTTTGCTCACAAAATCAGCCCGTGGGCTGGATGTGTGCCAGATGTTTGCACTGCCCAGTGCTGACTTGTGTGCCACAGCAGCCTTTGACACTGGCAGAACTCTGATTTTATTTTTTTTTTCAAACGCAAACTTTATTACATGAATTTAGCAGTCAAATACATTATATAAAGACAGAAAATGCAAGACAAAATAGGAGTTATTCACATCTGAAGACACTTGAGGGTTCATATAAAAGTAATCTTTGTAATCCAGTTTTCTTAAATATTTATGCATAAAAGCATATTTATATATTTACACTGTGCAAACATGTCCTTTGAGATGCATCATCCTGTAACTATTCTTGCTCAATTCTAGTAACAAAACAGTTCTGAAACTTTTGTTTTGATCAAGGTCAAATATACTTTACCAACGAGACAGTGCAATAGATACTTAAAACTGATGATCTCTTGTGCAGAGGTACTTAGCTTAGAAGTAGTGGTACATATTTATTTTGCTTGAATATCAAAGATAGTTTTTATTTGTAAATGACCTTCTGCATATTTGCCTTAAAGTTTGTTAGTGGGTTACATTCACAGCTCTTTAGCTGAATTCTGAGAGATCAAGAGATCGTGTAACATGTAGCATTTGAGTTAATAAATATTTTAGTGGACCATAAGAAGCTGATATTGGGCTGTAATTGATTTGGCATATATCAATGCTACTGTGTAGAATGTCCAACTCTCATTTTAATACTGCATTCAAAGGTGAAAGGGAATGGATGCATCCCAATACATCTTCAGCAAAGAACACTCACAACCTTTCTGAGATGCTATACAAAAATCTGCTGCAAACGAATGATTCATTTTTATTCCTGTACATACTTGTAACTAAGTGTGGAAATTAAGGTGTCTTCATAGAAAAGCTGCCCTAACTTTACAGATTGTCTTGTAATTTCTAACTAATCTCTTCAAACTCTCTAGTGATGAATTAAAGTATCTGCAGTCTAATAGCCATTATGTCTTTTCAGACAGATTCCTGTAAATAAAATATTATCAGTGCAGTTTTAGAAGGTCCATGAGGTTTTGTGAACAGAGCTTGGCTTTAACCTATCTGCCTTGTGGTTTGGTTCCAGTGTGTGCATGTTGGCCTACTGACAAAGTGCAAAACTTCAGTATTTACTTGATTTCAGCAGGATTGTCCAAACAGAATTTATGTTTTCCCTGTTGTTACAGCCCTGGATCTGGTCTTAGTTCTCCTCTATCCTTGCCAACACATTTTAAATTCTTGTCTTGCAAGGCTCCCTACTGTGTCTGCCATCTGGAGCGGTAAGATCCATATAATGCCCCATCCCCAATTAGCTTATTCAGCTTCCCCAGAGCATCAGCCTTCCCACAAGTTTCTCAAAGTAGTTTTCATTTAAAATACAGTTTGTGGTCTGTTTCTAGTTTCTATCTTCTTGAAGGCTTCTTTATTTTCCAGCACAACACATACCCCAGCAATAGGATACAAATACCTCAGTGTCTGGTGCAGATTCCCAGGTCTCTAGGGCTCCTAGCTGCCTCAGAACAGAAGTGACCCAAGTCTGAGCGGAGGCTGTAATAATGGCCTTCCAGATTTTCCTGGATGCTGAAGCACTTGGCATTTTTAGTGAAAGCTATTGGTGTGGAGCATTTGGGAAAGTCAAGGTTTAAGCAATAATATTTTGCCATATTTTGAATAAGTGTGCTGCAGTTGCTAGAAAAGCTCACTGGGATTAAGCCAATGGTAAGTTTTTAAGTTATATGCTTTTTAAAAATAATTTGGGCCAGAGTTTTTAAACTGACAGTGTTTCTTAAGAACCTGCGTGTTTAGATCTTGGCCTAGAAGAACTTAAACTGGTGGCTGAGAATAATGGACAACAGAATTGTAGTCAGGAGGAGGAGAACGGCTGGCGTTCATTTTCTCCAGCATCGCATACCCACAGGTGTATCTTCGCTTGGAGTCACTGAGCTGGTCACAGCTGAAACTGCAGAAGCTTCTTGGCTTGGTTATTCCAGAAAGCACTGACTCCTTGCTCCTGCTGGCACCTTTAACCCTGTAATAGAGCAGTGTCATTGTAAGCTTTCATAACATGTAAAGGTTTTTGGTTTAGTGACTTGAGCAAAGCCAGGTCACAAGCTTATTCTCACATGATGGGGAAGGGCATTGATGCAGATGGGCTCGCTCCGTGGGAGTGCAGAACATACGAATGAAGGAGCCTTCGTGTTCCCTCTTGAGTCCCCTCTAGAGCAGAGGTGCTGTGAGTGAACATCACTGTTAAGGGTGTTTGTGCATTATATCAGTCTTGCTGCTTGGGGGGAGTACTTGACTGCTCAGCCTAAGCTCCAATTGCTCACTTGTGATAGGTGCTGGGGAGTGAAACTTCATTGCAGGGTGGAGTAGTGCGGAGTGTCTGGCAGCTCTGCTGATGCTGAGGCAGTGTATCCCCACATCTAAATGTTTCTTCCTAAGGGAACTGGGATTTTTGTGCAGGAGTGAAGTGATGAAAGGCCTCAAGCCTTGAGGCAAAAGTAGAAAACTATTAGTGTATGTGTTCCCAAAGCCTAATGCTGGGATGAATTTCTAATATAAATGGCTGGTTTTTGTGAGGAAGGGCATGAGGTCTGGCTGTCTTCTTTTTGGCTTCTTTTGGCAGCTGCCATGAACTGCTGTTTTGAATTAGAATTTTCCTGTTCCGTAAAAGGACCAGTTATCCTGTAGGCTGCCTTTTAGAAGATGCCCTTTACAAAGAGGAGTTTAATGTCTTCTCAGCAAAACCACTTTTTAGGGTTTCCCTTATGGCACTTTCTCACCTGTATTCAGAGATTGCAGTGCTTAAAAGGGCTCTTTCAATAATGAAGAAAATTGGGGCCAAGAGAATTTTCACATCATTGAACCTGGATACCAAAGATTTATATATAGACAAAGGATAAGCCAGAGCATTTTTCCATCACTGTTTACATGTGAAATCTTAAAGTAAACATTGGACCACAGTGTCTAAAATTAGATTTCCTCCCCTGTATTTTTATAAGTTCGTGGACAATCCACTCCTCTCCATTTATAAGATTGGAAACACTGGCAGCCCTAGTCTCGAATTCCAGAGAAGACAGAACATCTGTTGAGGCTTGCAGAGCCCAGGGTTTTACTTTTCATTTTATCTTGTACTGTTAGGTCTTTAAATCAAACTACAGAAATAGTAGCACAGGACCATTTGTGATTAAAAGTTCCTCTTAGATGTCACAGTTTCTCAAATTCTTAATTCACAAGCCTGTGTGGTTTTCTAAGGAGTATGGTCTCGGTCTTGTATCCTACTGTAGGAAATTGGAAGATGTCCCTAAGAAGACCACCACATTACATTTATTAGTAGATGAATGGAGTTCATGAGGAGGAGCACTTGTGATGAGGATTGCAGATGCCTCCTATATTTTTATATCGCATCTGGTGGCAGATGCAGAAGTACTTGCCTTAGGATAACTATGACAAGGTTAGTCACAGATGCAGTGGACTTTTTGTGATGGGTTTAAAGAGAAATGCCTCTGTGACTTACATTGTAATTGTGAGTCTTTGGGAGCTGGCAGAAGTGGAGTGTGCATGACAAGTTACAAGCCTAAAAACTGTCTTGCTTTGATCCTTTCATCCTGATCAGGCTTTTGCATCCTGAGATTCTTCTTGTGAGCTAGACTTGGCTTCTGCTTTAATAAACCTTTTATACTGGTCTACTGCTGTACCTAGGCATGCATTC